TTTCTCTCTATAGCTGTGGCATGTATTTAATTCCTTATCCTTTCTAGAATAAAGCATATTTTCAAGATAGCTGTAGTCTTACCTCATGTTATGATTCCCTTTTTCAGATTTTATGTATTCATTTAGTATATAAATTCTATTTCTTGTGCCATAACAAGAGAGTAGACTTGGTTTTGTTTAAGATTTTTAATAGGGATGGATTTGATAACTTTATTTCACTGATCAAATGGCTCAGGATATGTAGTGTATTTAGAAATAGTCATATTTTCAAGCATTACCCTACACAAATCTGAATGTGTTCTTCTTAGAAAAAAACTTAGCTCCTAACTTCAAAAACACACAGGGCTTATGTTACTTGAAGTGCTTTGCAGAAATCACTTTGTCCTGGAGCGTGGATTAGTTTAGCAGGAATGGTTTTTATTTTGTGAACTCAGTCTTGGTTAGGAAAAATAAGAAGTAACTCGATTAACAAAATTCAGTTGATTTGAGAAAATTTAACTCAGTCATAGTAGTGGTGCTCTAGTCTTGGAATAGAAGCAATGTCAGATTGATAAACATCCTTTATTGATTATATTTAAGAATACACAGGGGCAAAGGAAGTCAGTGTGCAGAAGGTCTGTAGCTCTTCAAGCAGAATTTAATTCTGGTCACCATCTCCTTTCATTATTTCCACTCCTCCCTTGTTTGATCCAGTTCAAATATTCAGCTGATATTAGCATACTGAAAATTTATTGACCACCCTTAAAAAGTTTTATTTTTAGAAGGTAGGTCCTACATATTTGAGGAAAACATATTGTAAAAACAAAGAAGAATGATTTACTTGGATTGGACAACAGAAAAACAAAACCATTGAAAGCAAGTAGCGTTAAAAGCACCAGTTCTTGGGCTTCCTGAACAAAGGGGCTCTGTAGTTGAGACAGGAAATAACTATAATTTTTGTAGATCTCAGTTTTCCAGGATAACAGTTGGTAATGTTGAAGAAGAGTCCCTTTCTCGTTAAATAACAGTTCCGAATTTCATAACTCACCTGATTACAAGCTTACAGATTCTAAAACCTACTTATTACAGTAGAGCCCAATATGCCTCTCACTTTCAGGCTCACTGCAGAGCTTCCCTTCTTGACCGGAGGATGAACTTCAGAGCAGGTGGCAGTTTGCTCTCCCTGAAAGCAGTCAGAGGTACCTGTGCTGCCTCATCAGCATGTGCATGCTTTGCACGTACAGTATGATGGCAAACAACTAAAATCACACTACCAAATGTGGAGCGTCCATGCCCACAAACTTTTTGCCTGGAAAGGATCAAGATCTAGTTCCTAAAACAAATTCACTCCCATTAAAACACTTATGGTTGACGAGAATAGAAAAGTACAGTCAAAATGCAACAACTCTTAATGACTAGAGACACTGCTTCCAACTATTCATATAGAAATGAGAACAAGAACAGCATAAGATGGGTTTCACATCCTTTAACTGGAACTGCAATATTTCATGTTCAGATTTGCTGACTCTGTGAATTGTACTGCCACCAGAAATTATAGAAGTGGGTTCCTCCATGTGAAGCACAGCAAAGCCCTCTGATTGCATCACTGAGAAGAGGAGGACCGTTCCTGCTCAGAGAAGGTCACACTGTGAGTAGAAGTCTTGCCAATAATTCCATAAGCTACCAAGGAGTACTCATTTCTTCATTGTTCCTACGGTAAAAGTGCAAGGCACAAGGGAAATATTTATCCTGAGGTGTAAGTTCCTGTTTTCATTAAACTGAAAAATAACCCCAGTGTTTACTGGTTGCTACAGTAAAAAATTCCTTAATTTGTACACCATTAGTGAAGTTTTGGTGTAAAATACACGGTAAGGTAACGCAAGACAAATAAGACTGTCCTCTGGTATCTTGCACTGGAACTGGCACTCTGCCTAAGCTTCATCTCACATCCTCTCAGAGGAGTGGCAAAGCCATGCATGCATTGCTGCTTTGGGCAGCACCAGCAAGCAGCTTCTGTACCAGCCCCTCAGCCCAGGCTCTGTGCAGGTACAGCAGAAAGGAGTTTAACACAAGGGGTCTGTTTCCAGCTTTCATCTGTTTTGTTGCAAAACTCAGACTAGCTCCCTGCATGTGTACGAGGGGACAAACCTTGCAGAAGTGGTACCTGACTCAGGCTAGCAGGACTCAGTTGTTCAGGGAATGCCTTTGTCAGAGGTCAGGTTTGGGTTTGGACTGTGTTGAACGGCTGTTGGTGCAACTGGTGGTATTGGAAGTGCTGACTTTTGAACCTGTTGATATGCTTTTGAACAATCAGTTTTGTTACTCGCTTTTTTATTTTACAAAACTGCATCAGATCTTCCTTTGCCATCTCTTCTACCCAGCTGAAACAATTTTATTTCTCCACACAAAAATGTTCACTTTTAGTTGTAGCTTCCAGACCTTCTGACAATAAAAGGGTATTGAAGCAACTGTTGGATGCTCCAAGGTGGGAATAATTCATTAGATTTTAAGGATGAAAATGTCAAATCTATTCTGTACGGTGAGAAGAGCGCTGAGTTGCTAGCTTTGCCTTGAGGAAAGGTCTGACAGTATCAGCCCTTTTCACTTTTGAGATAAAATACAAAGTTTATAGGTATGTGTCAAGCCACAGTAAGTTTTGCACTAATATTAATCAAATAAGAAGAGATTACATATTTCTGACTTGACTACAGGTGACAACTATGATAATTTGTTCCAGTGCAGCCAACAGTAAAACTCAATGTGAAACAATTAACTCCCCAAAAGCTACCACCACCTTGTACCTGCTACTTCCCAGTGACTCCAAGGTCTATGGGGGAAGTAAGGGAGTACTAAGAAGAAATGGAAAGATGAAATACTTCGACCTGTAACGGTAACACCTGAAACTTGTTGATAGAGCAGGGGTTCCAAACAGCACTAACATTTCTTCTCTTGAGAAAGGGATGCTTGGATGAAGCCTCAGTCAGGAGGCTCAAACAAAGCTGAAATTACTGCAGTATCTTATCCACATGAAAGAATGTTTAGCTGAGTATGTACACAAATCAGTCAGTGGCAGAAAGCCCAGCAAGTGTTTGTTCCCCATCCTCCATTACTACTATCCCCACAACATGGAGAGCTTTCACAAGATTTTGCTTTTTTCTCTCTTCCCTATCCCTTGCCATTTAGCCTTGTTAGGAGCCCAAACTAGGGCTCAGAGCACCTGCAAGCCATTGGTGTGCTGAAGACCAAGAAACCAGACCCTAGCACTGCAGAGAGTTGCTGTTCTCCTTAAATCCTCACCAGTTTAACTGCAAATATCAGAAGGAGGGTTGTCGCTGTAGCTGTCAACATGACAAAGAGGCTGTATCAAAGGATACAGTACTATAGTCCACTTCTACAAACCTCTGCTTACAGTAATTACTTCAGCATCGTTAAAGACATTTGGTGTAGTAGCATCCACTTTCTTGCATACAAGAAACAGTGTTTATCTCTCAGATTAGGCCTTATAATTACAGCCCTCCCTGACAGCGTTTGGACACTTGAACCTCTCATACCATGCAGGCTTTAAGTGCCTCAAGGGAACTGAAGTTGCAAAAGTTTTGGACATCTACCACAGCAGTCTTAGGACAGTGTGATATGCTTTGGATACCTGTTGTGTTTTTATGTTTGAAGTAACCTTAAGACACCTCCTGCAACCTTACTGGTATGGTCATACCTTAGGTGACAAGAATTACGAGAATGGTAAACTGATAGAAATCAGATTAAATGCTGCTTCTGATTTTGAGCATTATGAACAGACCAGAAACAATAAAAAGGAAACATGTAGCACCCATCCTATAATTGCAAAGGAAAAGCACAGCAGCCTGTCTCCCTGCTCCACCAAAACCAGCTATGGATCCTATCATTCTACCTCCCTTCCTTTACTTCTGATATCCCAAACTCAAATCAGACAAACTTACCTCAAGTGACCCCATGTGCTGGAAGCTGTTATTTCACAACAGCTATTACTGATCAGCTGATGCGAACCAGAAGACTCTTCTGGTATTCTGCTTTCTGGTATTAATCTGTGTCAACATTAAGACATTCAAGCCAAGCAATTTAGGACTGAAATTCAGAATCAGGCAGTGGATGATAAGCTCCTTGATTAAACTAAAATCTAGAAACAAAAGTCATAAACATATTACAACGTAGAACTGCATGACCTACTTCTCCCTGCCTCTGTAATAACAACTTCAGAGACTCTACTAGTTAAAAAATAAATCCAATTTATTTCTCATAGCCTGAAGTTAAGTATTTTAACATTGCAGCAAAACCCTTTTAAGTTGAGTATTCACTTTCTCTGAGGGAATACAAATCTGGACTTTTTTCCAATTAAAAGTGGGAAAGCGACCTTTAATTGCAGTATTTCAAATTATTGCCATTTAATTAATCAAATTTGCATAAGTTAGCATAGCTTTGAAATTGTGCTCAGGCACAAAAGTGAAGTCTGCCTATTCTGCCTCCCTTCTTTTATAAAATCTGTATCTAATGTGTTCATGTGTGGTGCTTTCAACTCGAAAGAGTTAAAAAAACCCCCACAGGACACTAGGGACATCAGAAAATTAAATGAAAAAAATTAGGTTAACAAAAGCTAGAACTAACCCAAATATTTTTAGTTTTCCTAGGACAAAGATTGTTGTTCCTTTGCATGCATCAATATAAACACTTTCTGGATCTGTACTACTGTACGTGAACCTGGGAAGGGCATTGGTTTTATCCACAGCAGCTTAGCCAGGTATTAAAAAAGCTAGAGCTTCTCTTCCAGCAAGTTCCTTGATATAGACAGTGCAGGCAACTAATAAAGTGTTCCATTCCAATGGAAATTCTATTCCAGTAGCTGGCTCTCCCAGTTAACAGTCCCCAGATGAAGCTTCAAACCCACTAGCATTTTGAAGGTCTGCAAGTCCATATGGGGTGGTGCAAAATAGATTACGATCAAGAAAGTAGCAGAAGATAAAGACATAGTGAATGAAGCAGCCAAATCAGATAGATAATTTTATTTCCTGAAAATCTGAACTGATTCTAATATTTAATCACTTTGTCACAACTGTTTAATTTCCATAGTAAAAGCTTATGTAAGTCACTCGTAACAAAACAAGATATGTCATTTGAGTTCTGCAACACAGATTCAAATATGATTCACCAAGCATTTACATCCTGTTTGTTTGTATGCATGCTGTGTAAGGCACCTCCACATTTGTCACACTAATGTTACCCTAGAACTGCTTTCAAAATTACTAAAGGCATTTTAGAGTCAAGAAAACATTGTAGTTGTGAGGTTACCTTAAAAAAAAAAGTTCAAAGTTACTTTCCTTGCTCTGGATTAGAAGCAAGTCAGTATAAGCGTTTGTTTTTGATCAATTAAAGATGGGGTGGTTTTATTACTTTTGCATTGTCCCATTGCCCTTGTTTTAGGATAAAATATGCAAAGCCTACATAACGTCTCAGCATTTAGGACTGTGAGATTAAGAATAGGAATTGTTTACAATGCTGTTCCCACAGTAAAGCTGCCTGTTTAAGCCATTTCCTGGCTTTGTAATTCACTGTTTCCCCCACACTTTCCTCCTCTTTCACTTTGCAGGCTTATTTCTACTGGAAGTTATTTTTCAGAAGGGCACTCCCAAAAATTCCACACCAAGAAGCAATCTGTGGTTTCTCAGTGCACTGTATTAAACTCTCCTCCCCAAACCTGGGAAGCAAGACCCTGCTCCTGCACTGCAAAAAGATTTGCAAGGGCTGCTTCTTACAAAGAGCATTTTCCAATATAGGGCATTTGAATTTGTTAATCTACAAGTTTTTCTCTTAGGAATGTATTTAACCTACTCAGCAGCTCAGTCCTACTTTCTGCAATTCTGATTATGACTAAGATTGTTCACAGCCAGTCCAGGGTATTAACTGGCTTCTCTTCTGCTGGATGGTCTGTGCCTCCTGGTCATGATTTGTCTTCCCTTGCTTTTAAGTTCCAGTGGGTCATGAGTTCAGTAAATTAAGGAGAGGAATACTCCCAGCTGATGGATCTGTAACTTCCCCGGTTTCTCCCCTACAAAGGTCTTCCCCCTACATGTTAAAGAACAGCACACGAAGCTGAGGTTTCTGAGTATCCAAATTCCATTCCCACACTGGTGCAGAAGCAGAGACCATGTCTGCCAAAGCTGAGGTCAAGCATGTTATTCCACTGAGCTGCTTCAGAGTTAAAGGAAACACTGAACCTTTCTTTGAAAGGCATGTGAACCATATTAGTTCCTAGGGTTTTACTGTTCAGAATCAGACTGAAAGACGCTCCTCTGACCAATGCTGTCTGAAGAGAGACTGCAATTTGACTTTAATTGAAATTATACAAGAGGGACCATGCTTTCCATTCCAATCTGATTATAAAGACTATAGATAGCTCCTCATGCTACTAAAGTTGCTAGACTTCCTATTATGTCTTTCCCTCCCCCGAGGAATAAAACATAGTAGCTATCATTTAGTTAATAGTAGACATAATTTCAACCTTTGCTATGTACTCACTTCAGATCAGCTCTTTGGAAGTTCAGCCAAAAAAACCTTTTTTTTCACTCCTCCAGTCAAAATTCCTGCAGTCCTTTCCCAAAAGGCAATTCCTTCAGTATAAAAGTAAATAATTTTTTTTTTGTCTTTTCATAGGCCATAAAACTTGCATCCTTGGAGTAGGGCTAGACTTGGTCAAGTACCAAGTATGTGATACTTCACCCTTGTTCAGGTTTTATCAGAAAAGCCAGCTTACACTGCATAGCAGACATGTAACACACAGCGCCAACACTTGTCATAGCATTGCCCCTTTCTGATAACTGGAGATCAGAGTATCAGAGCTACTCCTGGAGCCAGCATCAGCAGCACCTTCAACACCTCTCACAGAAAGCACCCTGAAAAATCCTGTTTATAGGACTGCTCTTAGCAGTCACAGGATCTGCTCAGAGCTCCCCAGCTTTGACTAATAAACAGCCTGTAGTCCCAGGGAAGTGAACTTACTTTTTTGTGCAAAACATGTGCAGCCCCTGAAAAGGAGTTGTTCTGCTCAGAGATCTTCAGTGTTTGTTAGTCTTTACCATTTAAAAACAGAGCTCAGACTACATCAGTCTTAGTTTTTCCACAAAAAGACTTCTGGGTTCCTTGTGTCTCTTTTCTTAATAATGTTAGACAGTGATTACAGATCAATGGCCTTTACGAATTTACCTTGGAGGGACAGACAAGGAGGTAGATCACTCATCATAGGACATATGTGAAAGAAAATAGACCAGACAACACGACTACAATGTTTCTCTGCAGCAGTAAATTCGTGTACCGAGGTCAGCCCAATAAGTTTAATACGTAAGGAAAAACAGAGTGGGTATTTACTCACACACAATTTTATGAGAGGAACAACTGAAATGTCAGCAAGAAAAACACACTTTTTGGACAAATTGATATTACATCACATTAGTGGGCCACAGAACTCTTTAAAAAAATAAATCTTTTTGAGACATGAGAATGAAATCACATTTTAGCATGCTTTAAATAGCTGAACTGCTCCTCAAAGCATACATTTTCAGCTATTGGCAAAGACAATTATTATCTCTTCATCTGGAAATTAAAAAGCATTTAGCAATAAGTTAAAGCTAGCCTACGTGTAAGTGGGCTAAATACTAGTCAGAGATTTTTCCCTTTTCACATTTAAGATGATAGTACAGTTCATCACTTCTGTAGCTTATATGCTGTTGTGCAATGCCCCACTGAAGTTTCACATCTACTCTGCAAGAGAGAACAAGAGTAAACAGCGTTTTTTTAGGATAGTCACAAATGGTAAAGCCAGTAGTATTTGTTTTTCTGTTTAATTAGATGTTTGCTGTTTATCACACACAAGAACTGTAAGCAGAGTCCATGAATTCTTCGGAGCAATATGAAACCTCATGGTTCCAGGCAAGTTCAATACTGCCTCTCTCTCTCTCTCTCTCTCTTTTTTTCTCCCTCCTCCTCCTATCTGCTGTTTTCCCCTGCCCAAATTTTCAACAATCCTTAAGGGAAAGAAAGTTTTACTTCATGACTGCTATCCAAGAGAGCCTGGCTCCAGGCTTATGTTGGGTCAGGTGCATCTTAGATAACAGGAAGCTGGATGTTTTTCATTTGAGGCACTAGAAGTTAGGTTAATAGTAATAGTCAAGTTGCCCAAAGCTAAAGGGACAAATAGCTCTCATTGCCTTCCTATTTAAACAGCTGTCCAGTGAAAAAATCTTCTTTCCCCTTTTTTCCCTGAAATATATTAAGTACAGCTTGCAGTAACAGATTCCTCAGTCTTCCATTCATGCATCTGCAGTCCTATCGTATTCTGTCCCATTTCACTTCCTCAGCCTCAGGAGAGAAGTTAGCAATGGATTTCTCTACATTCAGATAACACACATCCTTTTTTGTCTCATAATAATTATCAAGTTTTTAGTTCTTCCTCCACATTCCCCAGCTAAGTCAAGACAAACTCAGTTCTGTGACAATGTTTTCCATGTACCTCTCTTCAGAGAGAGAGCTGCTGCAGCTGAACAAGACAATTGCAGCATGCTAGTTATACTTGGATTCGATATGTGGTTGAAAAGAAGAGAATGACCAGTTTTCTCATTCGTCTGTATTCAGACATTTAGAAAACCCCACTGTCAGCATCTTGAGTGAAAAACAGGTGACATCTTCAGACCCTTGTAAAACCACTTACGCATGTTAACTTGTTTGAATAAACTTCCCCACCTCAAGTGACACAGTGGCCTGCAGTCTTCCTTGATCCATTCAGAGAGCAAGAGTTATTTTTACTGAGTCAGTAATCATGCATTGTATTCCAGAGGAAATACTAGCCGGGTACCCCTGCTTGTAACTTCATGATCTGCTGCTCCCAAATCACGTTCCAATGCTTCCTCTGAACTTTTTGTTCTCCTGCCATCAAGGCTAGTGGTAGCTGTATGGGGGCCAGATGAACCATTTGCAGTTATTGTTGTATCCCCATATGTCACAGTAAGGTCACCATCATTCAGAATAAAATCAGAATCCTCTTCTCTAAGCTGTTCCTGATTCTGAAAAAAAAAAAAAAAAAACAAAAAAAAAAAAAAAAGAAAAATCTTTGTAGAGTGCACAGCATCTTTCTTTGCCCAAAAAGTAACCAAACAGAAGAATTTACCTATGTGTCAATACAGAAGCAGTAAGAGGTAAAGCTTCACCTTAAGAAATGTTAAAAATAACCTTGAACCCAGCGTTTGCAAATCAGCTTAGTGATCCCTGTATAACTGCTGCTACTGTGGAGAGATGATGGGGGAGCTGAAGCCAAGAACTAGGTTATGAAACGGGTAACCTGGGATTTAGTAGCACTGAAAGTATACCAAAAGTACAGGAGAGATCAGCAGTACACACTGTTTTTTGCATGACAGTTTAGAAGGCAGTACAGGAAAAAGACTGGAGACCAAGGACAATTAAGTCACTTCAGATACAAAGTCAGAGTTGCATCTATAGCTAATTAATCACATTCATTGGTAAAAGTTTCATGCGAACTGGTAAGAACTTTAGAAATTTTAGGCCTAAAATTTTCATGTTCAAGAATTCCTCAAAAATTTTTTGTTATACATCAAGAACTAACAATATTCTTTCAAATTATCTGCTTACTTTTGCCTGCTACTAAATAGAGAATTACTTGACCTAGTTCTTGTGAATGCTACTGAGCCATAAAAAAGATTGATACAAGAAAGTGCTTGCTTCATAGTTCTGTAACTAGTTTTGATATGTTCTCTTTTCAAAATGATTTAAGAAACTGGTGCATGAAACCCTGTGAATTTATTTTGGCAGAGATGGGATGAAATATATGGTCAGAGACTAGAAATTGCTGAAGTGTAACAAAACACTTAATTTCTCTACACAGCATAATTACAACAGCAAGCAACAGTACCATGTTCCACTCCAGTTTAACATGGTCTTGGTAAAAGGCAAAACAGCTGAATTGGTCAGAAAATGGGCTTTCTTTATATTTGAAGAAAATTCTATCAATACTATAAGTTTGCCTTCTTGCAAGTGAAAGCCATTATTTCTCCACATGAATAGCTCCATACTGCTTAGCAGGAGCTGAATTGTAAGTGTCTGTGTATTGCTGTTCTCCTCGGTAGGCTGGACACTGATCAGGCTATGCTCTCAAAATACATTATTTTCTTCCATTGCTGCAAAGGAAGGAGGACATAGGCCATGTGAGATAGGATGCCTGTGTTCAGCCTGAACAGAAAGCCCTGTCTCTACTGCAGAACAGGAGCTCAGGGCACTGCTGATCGAAAATGCTGATTCACCTGTCCATGATGAAAAATGCAGCGCCTGGCTAAATAAAACTTCCTGGGAAAGCTTCTTGTTATGTCAGAATGATAATCAGCCAAAATAAAGCAGCATAAGCCTCTAGATGATACAGAATATTTAACTAACAAGGACTGGAAGAGGTGTCAGGAGTTTGCCAAAACCAATGAAAGAAATAGTGCAGTTCAGCAGTGGGTTCAAGACAAGCCCTACCTAAAATGAATGCTAATTTCTCAGAAACTTCATGGCATCCAAATTTATCATTGGTTTTTAGTGACAGGGTTAATGTGATAGAGAGCACTGTTCCCAAAGAGCAAATACAGTTTAGAACACTTGCTTTCTTTGATCAGAAAGAAAACACTGAACTACTGGCACTATCTTAAAAAGCAAGAATTAAAGTGTTCGACTATAGTTGGCAGAAACAGCCTGTACAAGCTTTTAGTTGCAAAAAAAAGTAAAAGTCTGAGGGACAAGGCCAAGATGTGCCTAAAAAAGGCACTCCAAATAGTAACCCGTTTAAGAAATTCTGATATCCATATATATATTGTTTTGAAGAAGAGGCATTCAAATAAAGACGAAAAGCAGAAAAAAGAGCAAGAAGCAGGCAGTTTGTGACTGTTGACAATCATGTTTTAAGAAGCAGAAGAAGCTGAGAAGCTCTCTCATATGTTCCCTTTCACGGTCCTTGCCCTTGGAGAAGCACCAAGGAGGGGAAGGCAGGGCTAACAGAGAACCAGAAGCTATTGCCATAACAGGACCACATGTGAAGTGGCTGCAGCAAGCTCTCAAAGCACCTCCTGTCTCCACAAAGCTATTGAACAGTGAATCCTTGCACACTACACTTGAGCTTCCCCAAAAGGTTGAAAAGCTCTTGGAAGCAAGATATTGAAAGGAGAGGGCCTTAGATTTATACTATATGGCAAGTCCTAACTCAATCTTTGCCGGTTTGTCCCAGGCTATACTTGCATGTACATAAACGTGATCAGTTCCAGAGAAAACACTTAGCTTTCTCTCAAGATAGTGAACAAACATTGCCTTGTATGAGCCAAGTTCCTTTTATTTATTTCACTTCCGAATAGCACTGCAAGCAGCAGGTAATTTATTTCATATATTTCCCCAGACAACATCCATGAACAATCCCATGTAGTATACGGATTTACTATGTTTGCAAACAAAGAGGATGGGTGAATAAACCTACTGTGCTTCATGCAGCATGAACAATTCTTTCAAGAAAGACAGGAAATGTATCCAAGTAGATCCCCAGAGACTTGAAATACTTCCAAGAAAAACCCTAAACAGGCCTCTGCAATCCCCTACAGTTCTGTAGGAATAGCTTCAATTCAGTCAAAAAACATAGGTCTGAACTTCACTACTTAAACTGAGACTAGAATGGCTAAATACCTAAATCCAAAATTCTGCAAAAGCCTGAATTTTGCTTTGATGTACTGACCATAACCTTGAGGGACCTCACTGCACTCTGTCCTATTTGTGGTAAAATCTGTTCATGTTCCTAAGAATGTGTGCTGGAGATGTTTTTTATATTAAAGCTTATTTAAAGTGAGCTACTGCTTACAAGGCCTGTCTTTATTGCCTTTTAAGACAATGTAAAAAGAAGCACAAGCAGAGTGCAATGCATTGGCAGTAGTCACAAATGCTGGTGCTGAATACAACACAGGCATCACAGATGACAAAACTTGCATGAGAAGTTACTTATCTTGTGGCTCCAAAACAAAAGCATCAAGTAGCGTGCATACAAAATATATTGCAACTTGAATCTGATGCTTTGCCTACAGTCTCTCTGTTTCTCAGCCGAATTTAAATTCACCAGGGAAACTAAACAATTTTTGCTGTGAAGGTAGAACCAGTAAGGAATGGGAAGGGCAAAGCATGGCTAAACAGTTTTCTTACCCATTTTGAGAGTTACAGCCTGCAAGATTTATAAAGACTCCAAATTAAGTTTCTTCACTGGGGTCGCATACTTATAAATTAATTCAATTCCCTCTACTTTCATGCCAAGTTGTCATACCACATATGGTGCAAGAACTAAACTTTAAAAAAAAGTGTAGGAGTGTGTATAAGACAAAAAATACACCCTGAACAAAAAAAAAAAAAAACCAAACAAGAAGCAGGAATGCTTCTTCCAACTGGGATAAATGACTAATGGAACAGAGAATTACTAAAAGTTTCAAAGAACATGTCAAAAGGAGAAGAAAAAAACTGACCTACATTAGTTTGGGATAAATTGGAATGCCCTGCCAATGGGTCATGCACTGAAGACAACAGCACCAGAAGAGAAAAACAGTGTTTAAAAATACAGTTTTCAAAATTTCTCTCCTAACTGCAGCAACTTTTCATGTTTTTAAGTTCCAACTTGCAGTATGTCTGTGACAAACACTTAATGGTGGGCCTAGTGGCACTGACTGAAAACAGTGGGAGAACATCAGCAAGGAACAGTAACAACATCTCTGGAAAAAAAATCCACTGTACCTCACCTCTGTGTGCTGACTCAGAGCCTGACATGTATGTCAGGCAAATTCAAGCCTAGAGGACACGATCTCATACTTAAAAATAAGTTGTGGGTGGACTACGTAATAGGATCATTTGACTTTCAGACTTTCAAACCCTCCTTTGGCATCTAGTTAAAAAGACATACTCCCACTCATGGAAATGAAAGTGAATTCTAAATACTGTTGTAATAAAGTCAGAGGAGAAAAAAAACCCAAAACAATAAAAGCTGAAAACAATACATCAATACACAATCCGTATAGCCACACAGGTGTAAGCTTTCTTCTCTATGTAGATGTCATAACTCAGACTTGCACCTGAACGAGATCCAGGCTTTAATACTTGTTTTGGAAACATATTTTCCAGCTATGTTATACTCTATTGAATATTTACAGACTTTTTTTTTGCTAAACTTAAAGTCTTCAGTCTTTAATTCTCACAGATGTACCATTCAACTTCCCTGGAAATACCTCACAAAGGCAAACTATTCCAAGCACTTTCTGTCCCCACAAAAACATGGCTCTCTCCATTGCTTCACCTGCACTTAAATAGAAAGGAAAAAAAATTCCATGGCTTTTTAGTCAGTAATAAAACGGCACAGCCAAGTTCTGTAGCTAAGTCAGCCATGCAAAGAGACAAAAAGCAACAAAGCAATTGCAGGGTTCAGAAATCTTGAAAAGAAGCTAGGAAAAAACCCTCAAAATTAGATTCTTTCCTAAGACTAATTCACAATGCACTGAAATAGGAACAGAAGAGAGAATACAATGTGAAACTTCCACATTATACACCTTAACATTATGCAACCTGGCAAGCATTTTTAATGAAGTTAACATTCCATGTGTGTTTGTCACAGAACCAATCCAACTAAAGAATAAGTTTCCACATGCAGCAGTAGCTAACAATGATGAGTAAAGAAAAAAAAAGAGCCTAACTATGAGAGAAAACAAAAGGCAAAGGTTGCATGTTCATTCTGGTTAGATTCTCAGTTACTGGACAATTACTCTCACAAGATCATATGTGGACAGACACACAGGCAACACACAAGTAGGCTAATTGGTCTGATGGATGCCTTCCAGTCTAGATCTGCTTTAAGACCTCCAGTGGCATTGCAAAGATGAGAACAAGGCCAATTTCTTGCATTACTAATAGCTCCAAATAGGCAACAGAAATTTCAAAGTCCTTTGAAACTTTTCTATCGGGTACAAGTAAGTTGCTAATAATACCCAGAAAGAAACGCAGGGAAGTATTTCAAAGTTGCAAGTGGAATTCATAACTGTCTAGGAAAGGATTAATAGCAAACTGGTGCAAGACTACTTCAACATAGCAGAGATATTAACATCCCAGAGAACCTGCAAATTAGAGATATTCCCACATAGTACTGTGGTTTTATTTACAAGTGGCTCATAAAAAAGTTGTAGATTTCAGAAGCACTGTACAGATAGCAATGACATGTATCAGGGTCCTGCAAGAGTAATGAGAGAATGAAGCATTAATTATTGCAAGACATGGCTGTAAAGAAGAGAGTGACCTGCTAGACTGAGATAAGTAACTGCCTAATGGTTCCTGAAATGTGATCTCAAATTTCACAGTGGAAACAATAGAGGGAAGCTCTACCAGATTTGTTTCTGGTGTGGGTATATGTGTCAGTGACTTCTCTAAGGAGACCTCAAAGCTTAGTGGTAACAGGGAAAGAACCTTGTGCAAAACTGTTGAGAAGGGAATACTTTGAAATGATTCACTGAACTGGGTTATTGACTAAGCCTGTGTCCTACTTACAGGGGCCAGGACTAGTTTATCACTATGGGGGTATAACCAAAACTGTGTATTCTACACTCTCTCTGTTATTTCTGTTGGACTGTTAACAATGGATCATTTGCAGCAGCTGCCCAGGGCACACCTGACACCTCAGGCTACAAGCTGGGTGTTAAAGAACACTGCGAGGCAGGGGAGTGTTTCTTTGTCTTCATACCAATGACTCATCTGTGATAACTCCCCTATGGGGAGGCATTAGCACCTTCACACCCAGCCCGAGGGGTCATCTCTGCTAATGGGCCACAATGGACTGGCATAATAGGCAGCTGCACTGCCTAGACATCAAAGATTCCAAAAATATCCCATGACACGCAGAGTTACATCACCCATTGGGAAACTCCCAGGCTGAGGGAGGTACTGGGCATTCCCACCTGCACCTGAGCATATATAATCTTTAGGGTTTGGGACTTCTGGTACCACTCATCAGATCCAGAGGAGAACCAGAACTTCAACAGGACTGCCACTGCAACTCTCGACAAGACTGCAATCATTACTTCAACAGAACTGCAACCATCATCCAGATTAACAGGTTTCCTTTCCTTTTACTTTGTCCCCAGGGGAACCACGTGGTGTTCAGCACAGGGGTTAACAAACACTGTTCTGTTCTTGTCCCAGGGTGTGGGGTTATACAACTGTCTTTGTGGGTTAAAACCAGTTTTCTCTGTATCATTTGATTGATTCTAATCTTTTTAGGAAATTGTAACTCTGACTTGTAATCCCTCTTGAGCTGGATTCATTTCTCCCACCAGTTTAGTTTTAAACCAGCACAGCCTGTAATTTCCCAATATCTTTAAATGTTATTTTTTAATGTAGTATCTGAAAAACAAGATCCTTTCTGGTTTCTACCAACAGAAGTTGTTGCCTTAGGGGAGAGAATCTTAAATCTTTTCTGCCTAGGATAAACCAGTACTTTCTTGCAGTATATCTATCAGATCAGCTGAAACCAGAAAATGCCTAAAAAGAAAAACACTGATTTGCTGAAGTTAAAAAAATAATAAACAAAACACAGAAGTATTGAGTTGTTCTACTTACATCATAAACCTGGGGACTTGTCAGACAGCGGGCTATCAGGCCACACCAGCTGGGTAGAGTTGTGGTCAATGGAGGGCCACTGTGAGTGAGAATTGGCTTTAAATAACTTAAGTAGTTAAGGAAAACACACCAGTGCTCAACAACTACTATCGAAAATAAAAAGGCAAGTGTACATAAATGTGGTTTTGCCTTTCAACTTTGGTACTCAATAATTTTACATAAAACATCCCCAACATTTTCCCCTTTTTCCTTTCAAGTGCAGTTTCGTTACTCACACATCTTCTGCAAGGACAACTTTCTTAAAAGTTTCACACAGTTCTGATTTTTCCAGCTTCTGAGTTCTCTAAAGTGTAAACGAGCAAGTAAAGGTACAAGCATTTTACTGTTAAAGGGTCCAAGACTATTTGTGCTCTGAAGACGGAAGCATGGTGTCAAGGTTGCAAGCGAGAGGTAACAAGGTGACATTCCTATGTGGCTCAGTGTAGGGAAATAAAGAAATGCTGTTCATCCAACATCCTCAAAGCAACATAGCCAGCTGATCTGCTAGTTGCTTACTGAGCCACAGAGATGCAACCAGTAAGGCTCAAAGACATTTCTGCAGTGCACATACACATACAGCACACAGTCTCAGAAAAGCAAAGGGAAAACTGTATGGCAAGAACCATGTAACACAACATGGAAGGAAACAATACTACCTAGATTACACTGAGGGGACATGGGGGTAGGAAAGGAAGGTATCTTTACACCTCTTTTCATAGGTCTGCTCCCAGTTAAACTCATGTTTGTTCACATGAGTACTGCAGATTGATAATATGCCTGAAAAAATGCTCAAGAGTCAAAAAATGTTTCCCTGTTATGGAGCAGCATGTTGATCTTGACTGGCACATGAGTCAGTCTAATTATTTTAAATGTAAATAAATATGTTGCAGGTATTCCACTTACTTTCCTCAGACTCTAAGCACAGAGAAAATCAAGTCCATTTGTGAGTATAACAGTTTCTTTGATCCTCCCAACAGATCAACATACTTAGGGGACAGAGAGGGTTAAAAAGGGGCTGTTCTAGCAAAGAGCTATCTTTTCTCCTTAGCAGAGCCTGGCATAATGTCTTTGCTAGAGCAGAGTTATGTTTCCTCCTTCACTAACATTGCTGTTACACCCATTCCTGAAAGAAACAAACTTGGCCCTTGCACTAACCTGCCAGCCTCTACGCTGCCCTGCGGCAGACAGGCCCGCAGCAACTCGGTCGTAAGAAAACAAACCCAGTAAAAGACATCTGGTACTTCATCAAAGTTGCAGTTTTCTTCGTGTTTTACAGTTGTGGGTGAACCCAGGGAACAGCCCATGACATTAAATGAACTCTGCATTCCACAGGAATGAAGTTGCCGCTTATCCATCTGTACAGAGCTCTGCAGGCAATAGCCAGCATTGGAGCACGCTGCCATCTCTTTCAAGTTAAGTTCCCTTGCAAAGAGGGAATTTTGAAATAATCTGCCTTTCTACCTAGGAACCAAGTGAATGTATCAGAAAAAATATTTTGACATTTAGTCATGAATACGGAGGTGGCAATGCTAAAGATCATTCTGTCTGTGCAATTTAAGCCCACCCAGACAATGTTTATCTGAATGCCTCCTTGTAACAGAAGGAGCAGACTTTTACTTCTAAGATAGAGCTCTGCCTCTGGATGTCAGTTTCCTAGGCACAAACTTCACAGAAACCTTCCCTAAAGATTGCTAGTCACCACTGAAAAAAGTAAATGCACTAACAGCATTTTTTAAATTTCTGTGAAACAGGTAGTTAGGCTATAATTTTCTCCAGGCACTCCCCCTGCCCTTGCTGCAGCTGCTGGGGACTGCATTGTGCCAGTGTCAGCTGAGGGAAGTCAGCCGGTGCTAACTACTCTTTCTTTCATCGGGCACATCCCTTTGTAAATTCAGGGGTAGAGGACAGTTCTGCTTCCTTAAAGACAAAACAGAAGCAGTCAGCCACAGCCAGATCCTTCCATGCTCTTAACACCAAAGTTTTATAGTTTGCGTTGTTTTCTTTTTAATAACAAAAATCGTCCTTGTTGCACTTTGATACTAGCCACTACAACTCAAAGGGTTAACTTGAAGTTACTAGCATTTATGTATACTTAAACTAGCAGTACACTTCCTTCCTGGGCTTTGGCCCAATACTACTGCATCTGAAAGCCTTGCTCACAAGATTTTATCTGGGAGAGGCAAGTGCTATTAGGATCTCAACACACTACCAGGGCTTGCGTGGGTGGGAAAGCTTCATGCACAAGGCATGGAAGGAAACTACTATGCTCCAACTAGGCCAGCAGTCTCTCATCAACCAACGGCCAAGATCCCAATGAAAAGCCTCACTCCTCAGATTAAGGCCCTGTCACAGGTAATTTTGCATATTTAACTGATGAAGAAATTACTAGGAATCAAGAATTGAAATTTCTTTGTGTTTCTGGGTATAAGTGAATGGCCACAAGATTGTCTTTGCCATTTTCCACTAAGTGAATGCAAGCTGTTAAGGAGGAGCATATGTATGACATATTGATTAAGAATCAGTTAAGAAGATTAAAAAAAAATACAGGTATGAAAGACAGGACAGCTACACAAAAATTGCTCAGAAGCCTAAACAAGGCTATCTAAATAGTACAATAATAGCTTCAGAAAGGCTCTACAGTACTATATACACACAGGGACACTCTGCTTTAACACCTATAGTAAGTTCTGGATATACTTGAGATAAGCTGGATCTCATGTAGAACTTCCTCTTTAGAAATCAACCACAGATTTGGGACTTCATCACAAGAGCAGATAGCTCTGCAGAGCAATGAGTTGAGGCTTACACATCCAGCGAACTGGAAAACTAGTTTGTGCTCTGAGCATCAGTGAAGATGAGAACAGATTAATAAACAAATCAGAGGCCCTGAAATAGTTAATCAGCTGTCTAATTGTTTAGGAAGGCACTTCAGCTCCTAGAACTGACTGGATTCTGTCCTCCAGCAAGTGTCACATACATACTTTAGAGAAAGCAAAGGTCTGTCTGCTGAGCCGGTGAGTTCAGTCTTCAATTCTATGTCTTGAAACTGTCAAATACTTGAGAGAGTCAAACAAAGATCAAGCACTTAAGGCTACATAAGGGAAAAGGTGAACATTTCATGCCTTGAAGGTAAGCTGTGTTTTCAAAAGGATACTTATGGTCAAAGCTATACCATAGCCTGAAGAGCCAAGCACTTTCCTGCTTTGTCCTGTTCCTTCTTGCAGAATCCGGGCCATCCTAAAAGATAAAAACATATTCAATTGTTTCAGACAGAAACAACTCCAAATGATACATTGCAACATTCCCTGTCCAAAAAACCCAAATTATTTCAATACTGTACTTGGAATGCAGAAGAAAGCTATTTAGAGTCTTGCTTATACTGAGACTGTTAGTTTCCCTACAAAGACCAGAAATGACTGCAGAGAAGCAGGCTGTTTTCATTGCACTCAGGTTACCTCAACAAGCCCTCTCCCACCAAGTTTCCTGGAGCTTAAAACCTTTCAACTCTTAGTGCAGTAATGGATAAAGAAGTAACTTCAAAACTGAAAAATAAACCTCATTGATATTCCAGAGTGATTCCTATTTATTGCTTGGTTGGTTTCCTTAACTTTAGGTCTAGGTCTAACTCTAGGTTTTCTCTTTTCTTAAGCCTGTTGCTTCAAAGGAAACTAAATTACCATACCTGATAAACTCTCAGAAATCTGATGAAATATATCACATGTAAAAGAAACATGCTTAACAGGAAATGCATATAAAAATCACATTTGATGGAGGTCATGCCAATCTCAGAAATGCTAGATCAACCTTGGAAGGGCTAGCAGTGTTAAATATACTAGCTGTGCTGCAAGTCATCACACCAGCTGGTCTGCAGCTGCATTTGTTTTTTACTTTTTTTACTGTTTGGGGGTTTTTTGGGTGTTTTGCTTGTTGTTTTTGTTTTGTTGGTTGTTTGAGGTTTTTTTTGGCCAGAGGCCAGAGTTAAACACAATAAAACAGATGGATGCTTTGTATGAATCACCTTCCAAACTACTGGAAAAGAACAGGACAGGACTGCCCTGTAAAAAAATCCATGATCCATGAGGAGTTAAAGCTTAGTACACATTCACTCCCTCCCCTCCCCAAATGATATATTTTCTTTAACTGTGACATGCTGCTAATCTTGGCTTGGTGAAAGAAAGAGGAATCCAAAGGGAACTGACTAACAGACTCTATTAGGAATGCAATGTACATTTATAGAGGGGGAAAAAAATGGGTAAGTTCTTTATGTCTACACAAGAAAAAAGCAAACAAAATATTTCCACAAAAGACACTGAATGAGAACAGAGTACCCATGCTCTGTTTCCTGGTAAAGCTATTCCTCAGTTACTGACAAACTCAGCCTGAACTGGCCAAAGCTGTCTTACCATGATACCACTTCCTAACCTTGGTTTTATGCAATAATTGTGGCCTTCATTGTAAAAGGTGGTTTGAGGCCTGGACTTCTGGTTGCTTGCAGATAGACATAAAACAAAATTCACCCTTTCTGGTAGCTAACTCCACCATTTCAGAATTTATTTTGTGTGCTAGACACAGGCTTCTACAAAGAACACAGACATGCCTAATGCAGTTTCTGCAATGAAAGAGATCTTGTTGAGCAGCAACTCTTACCTGTACAACACGTGAAGAAAGAAAAGTAAGGCAGGAGAAACCACTAAGAAAGCTAATTCCAAATAAGTGTGTCTACCTGTTACCAGCCTGAACATCAGTATCGTACAACCTGAGGTTTACAAAGCAGAGTTCACATACTTGCTCCCTAAACATCCTCTGCATCCAAAGTCATCTGCCATTCAACTTCCTCTAGAAGGTTCCTACGTAAGCAACCAGTTGTGCTACTGAACAACAGCGTCAAACAGAACTCTGGGAGAATGCAAACTAGGGTCTAGACAGAGGAAACACCCGGTTAAGCCTTGGGAAATGTTGAGTTGTTTTGTTTTTTTCCAGATCCTTCACTCCTGCAAATTTACCCAGTTTACAGATGAGCAAAACTAAAATTTTCTGCTTTGAACAACATTCTTCCAATGATCTTGTTTGCCAATAGCATATTTCAGGGGAAAAAGTCAACTCTTGGATTGTTATTGATGCATAGAAGGCTTCACTAAAGATTCACAGAAAGAGTTGGCTGAATATAAATGGCAGTTTTCCAATGCTCCTTGTGCTTCATACAAGTGGTAGGTAGTACAGGCAGGATCCAGCTGGCTTGTGCTACAGCATACGAGAGCTGAGATCGGGTTAGCAAACTTCATCTTTGATTATAAGCAACTCCAAGGGCCAAAATTTGGCATCAGTTATTAACAGGAGCCTCTGGGTCAGAACTGGGAAGAACTATTTATGCAGCAGCATGCTAAAAAGCAAACATGTTGGGTAGGTGGGGGAAGCAGTAGAAAAGCACACTGTTAAACAGAGAGTATTAGTAGATTTGGGAAGGCTTGTATATGTATGTATATACATATACACAAAAATTTGAATATGACAGCCTTACACCCAATACCACAATGTTTTTCAGTGGGTACTACTTGAATATTATAAAGTGAAATCCATTACTGATTTGCCAGCTAGAAGAGAAAGGTTTTATCCATGCATTCAACTTATGCAGTTCTCTATCATCTTAGATATAAAATAAGATCAGCCTAATAGAGAAGTTATGTAATTACTTACTCCTTGTAAGACTTGAAAGCTGTCATTAGTAGGTGGAGGATCCTGATCTGGGTCAACCCCAACCCTACAGAAACATTAGGAAAACAAAGCAAGTGGTGTTACTGAGAGTTGCAAATGTTGTAAATTGGGCAGAATGCATTTTAAAAGCACTTTAAGCACCCAGCAAAGCTGCATTCAGAGAGATTATGAGACTAGTTTGAGGAAGAGTTGTCCATTATTCCCCTGCAGTTACATAGCTATAAACAAGAAACTTTTTTACTCAAGAAGCACCTGCCTATAGACAACAGCTTTAATTCCATCTTGGCATCAACTTTAACTGCTTGCCTTTGTTGCCAACTCTTTTAGGACACTAGAAAAATACTATTTTTGGCTTAAAAGGTGGGTGACATCATCTTTAGTGGAGAACATCCCTCATGTCCAGCAGGAAGAAACCAGAAGCTAAGGATAAAGCCCAACCTAAATATTTGACACAGCAAATAACTGCCAGATAAGCTTGAGAGTGGCTCAAATATATGACTTTAAAAAGTTTTAATACCCTGTGGGAAGCACCAAAAATACTATAAAATTAATTTATTAATTAATACTATTAAAAATACTTTATAAAGATTCACAAGCTTAATTTGCTGCAAGTTTCATTCATCTAACCCAAAGCAGCCGCAGTGGATTAACAAGGGGCCTCTAGTCCAGCCTCCCACCTGAGCGAGGCAGGGTTTGTGCAATGAGATGGTGGGTGATGACAGAATAATACATTAAGAAGAAGCTGTCTACTCACTTTTGCATAGCTAGCAAGCATCTTATTCCTGAACCCTCCTTTCACATAGGGCTCCTATCCAAGATGGGTATTTATCCTTGTAATTATGTTCAGGTTCTTCTGGTCTATTTTGAGGGTAGCTATTTGTTAAGATTGGACTTATCTAGTTTTAAATCCTATTCATGTCTTAATCTCTGTCATCTCTGAGAGAACCTAAACCTCCAATCAAAATTTTCAGTTTCAAACGCATTGTGTTTCAGTCCCACCACATTGCACAGTAAGTGTGGGAAAACTCACGAAATAGCCATTTCAGACAATAAGTTTTTGTTAACTTCTTCATGTCTTCTCTGTTAGAAGGGACTGAGCTGGTTTAGTGCAATTTCCTTGTTATTTAGACTATGTGTCAACTGTTTATAGCCACGGTGTTTATGCAACAGCCCTGAGGATCACCAGAGACCAACAGAACCTCGCTGGTAAGACCATACCATTTGTGTGCCTCAGGGACACCATGCTTGCGTAAGGATGGATCAAACAAACAGAGAACATCCTTCAAATAGCTTCCAGGGCAGCATTTTCTAATAGAACAATAGAAGAAGAAAAGTAGGCATTGAACTAAAGTTTTAAGTCATCCTTGTGGATGCACAGCCAGTGGGCTCACAGCCAGTTCAAGGTGTCACGTGACTTAATATAGTTCAGGGAAAATCCAGAAGGCCACCTTGCAGTAGCCTCATATAAAACTAGTGCTGACCCAGTCCTCTGCTTGGTGTTTTGGTTTGGTTTGGTTTTTCTTCTGAGTCTCTTGTCTTTCCTCATCACTTCCTTTTTCCACATATAGTCATCTTGAACTTTAGGCACATTTAGTCTGAGAATCCATTAGCACTGACCAACCTCAGGACTGAAAAGCTTCATCAGTTTAAGGGAACACTGGATAGACAGATTAAGTACTGGATTGTAACACATGCTAAAATAAACCACCACACACAAGAGCTCTGAGAGGTTACAAGGGCTGAGATATTACTGCTTCGGCTATCACAACATAAGAAGGGTTTTCTGCAGACAGACTAGTTACCTAATGAAGCCTCATGCAGAAAGATGACAAGCAACATCAGGAAATCAACTCAATATGGCAATATATATACAAGATTACACATGAAAATAAAAGAAAAATAATTGTGGCTTTCTTAACTCCAGCTGCACATTGGGGAAGGTTTAATGTGTTATGCACAGCAACCAGACTCATGTTAATAGTGAGTTCAAGAAGCTTGTTCCAAAAGATGAACATAGCTTGCATTCCCTAAATAGTTTTTACTCCCTGGGCTACCCATTCACTTCACAGTACAAAAGAAAACGAAATAATTCAGAGTGTCTCAGCTTTTACTTGACTTACAAGGTCGTGGATTTGTTTTGAGGATTTTAACTGCCCTTAGGCAGGGAAAGGGGGCTTAATGAAGGACCAAAGCAGGACAAACATATATTCAGTGAAAAGTCATAGTACATCACAGGCCAGGTGTTTGGGTTCACTGTGGTGCTGAAGAGGAAAAGAGAGCTTTTCTATATTAAAATGGTTAAGTTTTAGAAAAAAACTCTCACTACAGATGTTTCTTTCAATATTGAAATAGTACATCCACATAAACTTGTAATTCAAAAACTTTTTTCAAAGTTATTCTTCAGGTGAATTTATACTTTTAATGCTTTTAATTCTATCCCATAAATCACTGTGTTTCTTTTTAATTTCACTTTCAAATTGTGTTCTTCAGTTCACAGACTAACAAAATAAATTTCCATTTTGACTTCTCACAACTATTTTTTTGTATGTAGTGTCTTTTATCCTCTTCTCTAGCATGAATTGTACAGGCAGGTTTGTTTTTTTTAGCAAGTCTGCCTGTTTAAGTTTCAAGGGATATACACACTGGCATCACATTTTTTGCAGGCCCTGTCCCTAGATTTCTAAGATCTCATCTTTATCACCTAAAGCAAAACAATACCAAAATCAAGTCCAGTCTCTCCCAACCTCCTTTACAGTGAAGCACAGAAAACATTTAGTTACTTCATCCTTACTTAACTACTTCCATAATTAAAAGTATGAGTGTAAAGGTGATGCAAATATGTCTTCAACATTGATTTTTTTCTGGTGATAAAAAGAAAAAATCCATCTCTCATCCTAAGGCACATTTAAAAAGCTTCCTGTAATTTAAATGTGCTGTAAAGGCTAATATCAGTTATCATTTATTTAACTAGTTTTATAAATTAAGGAAAACTATTAATGGATGGATTTAAACAATCTCCTCCCAAAGATTAAGGGCACAGAGAGGGTAGCCTTGCCAATGGCCATGGTGTTTTGCTCCAACCCCATAGCAGAAAGGCAGGTGAGGAAGTGCTCGTTGAAAACTTATAGGAGAGACCCAATCTGTGTGATGGGGACTGAAGGGCACCTCAGCTGTGGGACTGCCAAGGCCAAGGTAGTGCAGGTGCCAGCAAGCATCTTCATTTCCCCCCACCGCCTCTGAAAGCCCTTTGCAGCATTCCTGTGTGGATTCCCCGAGGGTGTAAAATAGAAATTCAAACAAGTAACTCTTAAAAAGATTTCAGATGAAGAATATAAGCAGTCTTTTAGTTGTAACAACGCATATACATCTCAAAACTGGTGAAAAATCCATTTCCCCCATTGGAATCACTTTGGTATCTGATAGATACCTTATTATTTCAGTGCAGATAGTTACTGGTACCTAAAATTCAGACACCTTTATTTCTGTCTTGGGAAATTCACTGGAACCTGTAGACATTAATATGCTACAGTAAAAATTAATCTACTTTCAGTATATTTCTTCACTCCACCCTAATGAAAATATTTTTTAAGGCACAAAAGGCTTTTCGTGCTTTAAGAGCTCTGTAACAGGAAAGGTACTAGCCTTGAGCTCACTCCTAATGACCAATACTAAAGCATCACATTTCTACCCCTAACTGACTTGACCTTCTTGGTCCTTATCCTACAGCTACAACTCCAGCATCACCCATTAGGGAAACAGTTACTTGGATTTGATCCCTCAAATGCTAAGCCTATGTACAATTCAGTAATTTAAACATTGTGACAGAAAGGGGTTGACACACAAAATGGAAACTAAATGGATGGAAATGGATAGCCGATAAAACTATTTGAAGTTCTCTACTACATCATTTTTAAATGGGTAGGACCATTTTTTTGATACTTCAGAAACCTTTGAAAGACCCTGCAACACACAGATGGCAAGTTACCAAAATACTAGGCTCTATTACATTCTAGCATATGTAATTACTGTGGCAACAGCCAAGAATGACTGTAATAGATATTTGTTCTCAGATTCTCGGTACAAGCTAACATACTGCATCTCTGGCAGATTTAGCAGTTTGCTGCAAACCTTCAAGTGTGACAAGGTACATGAGAAACTTACCATTATCCCATTCCAAAGAGCTTTCTTTACATAAATATTCTCTATATATTTATATGTATATGCATACATGTACATACAAATACACATCTTCCTATAGATGTCAGTTAGAGATTTATCTAACTTTAAATTATCTCTCTAAAAAAAAGAAACCGGAATCCTAGTCTTCTCTGGTTATCTCCACTCTTATTAGCATCTTCCTATAAAGCAATGTGAAACCCTCAGTTTTTAAAATACATCCCCAAACAGGCTGGGCTAAATCATCTATGAAGGTCCTTCCAGCCTGAAAAGTTGTATGAAATAATCTCATGGAATGCTTAAGAATATCCATGTGATTAAGGAGCATAGGGTCATATCCATGATTTCTCAGCTTTCCCAGGGCCAGAGATGCCAGTTTTACTTCATTGAATACCCCTACACAGAGTGAAAGTATGTGGTGTTTTGTGGTTTCATTTTTTTAAACTAAAGACAACGTGTGATCCACACTCACAGCTCAGAATAAGAGAACAGACTCATAACTGAGGAACTGCAGAAAAGAAGCAGCAGCAGCATGCCACAGTGTAGAAAAAGAGCACACATTTAGTGTAACAAAGATGAAGAAAGCCAAGCACCAGGTTACTTTGGTATCAAGGAAGGCACGGTGTCACCTGAAATACAGCCAGCGGCTTTCACTCATCTCTTCCACCGATGGAACACGGTCACCAACTCTGGTACAGTACAAGAATGCAATGTGAGTAACAAAATGCTCATGAGATGTGTGCTTTACAGAGCTCTTTAGCAAAACAAAGCAAACCAACAAAAAACCCCCAAAACGTACCCAATCAAATAAGACAAAACATACTTGAACAACAATGGCAGAGCAATAACAAAGTGACGAAACAAAAATTAACAGCAGCAAGTTATGATTGACATATCGAATAATATTCTTCCTTGGTTCAGATTCCAGATGGCAAAACACCATGATGGTAAAACACAATGGCAGACTACTTCCCCCAGAAAACTAGATTCAATAGCTCTCAACTGAGCTGCTGCACAGAGACAGATCCCATCTAAGACAATTCCTACCACTTCAGACCTGCATATGGTCTGAAAGAGAAAGGGTCATCAGAAAAAGTATGGGAAGCTGTGCATATATGAGAGGGGTCACCAATACTACCTAGTCTCAGAGCGGTCCAAACCAGCTGGTAATAAGCTCTAAATCACTCTGTTGGTTTAACTAAAAATTAACTAACAACTTTTAACATAATTAATCTCTAGTCATAGCACAGTGTGTTTTTACTCCTTGCTTTGCCTTTCTCTATTGGGGCGGGGGACTTTAGGTACAAATGAAAGCATATTTGGGTTCTAGTATTTTCCACACAAGTTCCTTATCAGCTTGGGGGGCTTTTCCTCCCCGTCTCATCTCCCCCCATTTTTCCATGAAAGCATGCATCATGAACGTTGCTTATGTGAAATAAAAGCCTGTATGATCAGAAATCCACAGAGGCCTCACTTTACAAAAAGCACACCCTGATTGCAGGCTGACCAAATATTTAAGGCTATAGCTTGTGATACGATGAGCATGTACTCATGTAATCCTTGAATGTCGAGGCAAATACCAGACTTTCAGCAGATTTATTTTGGATTCCAGGTTCAATAGCTCTTCTCCCATACCAACATACACTCCAGGTCAGAGCACTCTGCTCAAAAAGGCCAACTCTGAGATGGCTCCGTATGCACAGCAAAAACTAAAATTAAAAACTGCCCAATAACTACCCTTCTACAACTTCTTTCTCTTTGCTGTATCTTTGCCAAGTTAGTATACTAAAGTTTTTCCAGATGTCTGTAATAAGTGCAGTGTTTTCAGAAAATTTTAGCTGATTTCAAAGAGTTCAGCTGTTTTTCAGAAGGTGACTGAGGAAGAAGAGAACTCCCATCACCACGTCAATAAAAAATAAAATAAAACCCAATCACTAAAAAACCCTGGAATTAAGAAAAGTTGTTTCAGGTTGTTTGTAGAATGCCTTTGGGTATCTGTTTACTTCACCTAACCAAGACAATGACTCCTGAAACTGTCTCTTGGTATTTCTTGATCTAACCAAGATAATGACTCCTAAAACTTCTGTCTGAGGCTTGCCAGAGCTTTGCAGTTAACCCAAGTCCTACAGCATTTGGGCTTCCCCACATTTTTTTTCTCTGGTGTGAATTGCTGTGTTTCAGCCCACAAGAATAAAGATGAGGAAACATCTCCCATGCTTAGTTCCAGACTTCCAGAGGAAAAGACAATCTCTTTCCTACAAAGGAAAAGGCTCAGAAGGGTGAGGCTGGAGGTTTGGAAGCTGCACTGCACTGCCATTAAAGGAGATTTAAGATTGATGATGAAAAACTAGAGATTGGGAAAGAAGCAGGAAGACTGGAAAAACAGTCCAGAATAAGAGATGGGCAAGGAAAAAGATCACAACAGAGGGCAAGGGACAACACCTGTGCCTGTGAATCTACCTTTAAAAACAGCAGAGAGTGGCTAGAAGGCACTGAAGGATCTAAGTTATAGAATAATAGAAATAGGCTGCAAAACAGGAGGATGTAACTTCCTATCAGACATCCCCCACACCAGTCTGGAATACAGCATGAGGCTGGATCACAGCATCAACACTGAGGCATGGTATTTAAGAGATGCACATTTTATTGTTGATCCACTCTGGGAAAGACAGAGTATAACCTGAGACTTCCACCAAGCTGACAGTTTTACCACTATCCCAGATAATTAGGTAGTTCACATAGTAACTGTGTGAGAGTTAGTGTTTCCAGATTTCTTTTTCAGTTTGCTCTTTTAAAGAAAAAAAATAGAAAATAGAAATAAATTTAAATTTAAGAGCTTTAAATAGGAAGCTCTTAGAAATACTGGACATGCAAAGTCAGACAAAAGGCAGTAAAATATCTAAGTTGACATTGTCTATACAAACTTTAGCTTTTATGGTAAGAAGATACCTAAAATATTTTAAATTGTAAGGTATAATGCTTTGAGACTGAGAAAAAAGATTGCTAAGTACAACTGAAATTATTTAATTAAAATAAACACTAACTTCCTCGTTTTCAGCAGATTATGAAGGAGAAGAAGGCATTAATCTATGTGTTGTTTCAATCAACATGAAAAAAAACAGTCATTAGCCTCTAATGAAAAATGGAAACCACACTGTTTTGCAATACAAATGCTAGGAGTTCCCTTTTCCCCCCATGACAGATGAGTGAAACAAGAAGTCAGCTATTTTTTAGAAAAGAGGGATTTTGCCAGTGGTTTTGGTTTACAGGGCTTTCAAGTTTGCTGAAACTGTTAAAGCTTCAGTCAGGAAATTGTTTCTGCCTTTAGGCCTCAAAGGATGAGACTATATTTTTAATATCCAAATCATGCTTTAGTTTCTAAGGAAAAAAAATCTACTACTAGGAAAGTATAACTGTTTACCACCCAAATGCTTGGGTACATCTCAGTGATAGAGAACCAAGAAATTCAAACACGACATCACGACTTTAATTCCAGTTTCTGGTGTTAATTTTTAATTTGCTCAGCATCAAGTGGCAGAAATCAAAAGCATCTGAAGATTCCATAAGTTTTTTACTAAGATTTTGCTGTCATGACCTCAGTTTTCTGAGCAGTTAAGCAGAAAACTGAAGTTTAGTCTCTGCTGCAAACCATAGGTCCTTTTCTTAGCTGTACATTAAAGCCTGATCAGTGGGCCCTGGGTATACTGGGCTTGTCCAAACACTTGAGACATTCAGAACAGCAAGAGGAGGCAGAGGATGTTTTTGCCTATTTCCTCCTTATGCTGCTTTTTACTTTAATAAAACTTGATTTTCATGTTAGCCTCTCTACCCCTTACCTGCTTTTAACGCTGCATATCATGGGAGAGAAGGGACAAACAGTAAGTAAAGAACAGAGCATGCATCCCAATTGCTACACAACTAGTGGTGTGGTCAGAAACATGTCCCTCTGCCTCTAAGCCACAGCAAAGAAATTCTGGATCCTTGTGTAGGCGTTGCATCTTGCATGCATGCAGCTGCTTCCCCATGAACATGGTGGTATCAAGCCAGGCTGAAAGTCTTGGCTGGAGTCGGCTCTCTGGTACTGTTTACTTAAATCAAGCAGGCACAACCATAAATAAGACCCTTTTGTCTTGATGTCTGTCTCAGCTCCTCTGACTTGCCCAGTACAACAGATATGTGCCTGCCCTTCCCAGGGAAGGAGCTCAGCCCATCCCAGTCCACAGGAAATCTTGAAGGGGCCACCCAGAAAACCCTCTGACAAGCAGAACAGTATCCACAACATGACAGTAATGTCACTCTGCCATGCTGTGACTAGGCAAGATAAACCAGAGTAAAGGTTCAGTGAGCTTGGGTGACTCTTCATTAAAGCAGGTCCTTGTCTTCTATCTACATCCACACTGTAGTCGGGCCAACGACTTCAGGAGGACTTTGTAATGGCTGACTAGTTCTCCATCCTTCATTCCACAAAGGCCAAAGTCAACCAGAATACAACCAGTATGAACTTCACACCAGAACTGGACTTTTAGGAGTCCACACAAATCCTGACATTGAAGTTCAACATACAAAAGACGTTAGGTTCCTACATCCTTTCACTTTATCTAAGAAGCAAACCACCTTTTATCTTTTAAGCTCTTTTCTGCTAAATAATTCTGTATGTGACCACTACTTATTTCCAGTTTCTGGCAATCTAACCTAATGGGCAAGTGCCAAGGCTCAGAAAGCATCCCAGGGACAAGTTACCTCCTGTGCAGCCTCAGGACTGCACCAGCACTACATACTGTGCTGCTGAGTGAGGCACTGGCAGAACATCTTATCTTCATCTCCTCCTGTCTACCTCTTCTACTGGGTATAAAGGGATGGAAAAGAGAAAAGTAGCATAATTCTAAAATTCAGCTGGAAACTAATTTGTCCCTCTTTTAAATTTGAAGTGTCAGACAGGACTTCTTGTTTTCCAACAGAAAGGGTTCTAGCACAAAGGGTACTTCACCAGCACCAAGTTTCTAATGCTCGATCAGCTGTACACGGCCGCCACCTCCTGGCACAAAGCTGATTTCATGAAGCCCCTGAAGGTGCAGACTCCATCACTGGCGGGGCAGTGCCTATCAAGCCAGCTGTAGGCAGATCTGTGCAGTTCTCTAAAACGCTTTCTGCGTAGAGCTCCCTTGTTATATACATGTCATTAACTTCCCTGTTAAGGGAAGGACAATTTATTTTCTGTCAACTATGACAAATGACAAGTCAAGTTACTGCTTATTAGCAAGGGTAGCTAAATCTCAAAAAAAAAGCCCCCTAAAAACCCCCACCCCCACCAGACCCCAAACCTAAAGCTAACCACTCAAATCTATGGTTTGGCGAACTGCATTTTGGCAGCTCAAGCTGCCAGCACTTATGATGAGGGCTGTTAGAGTAAGCTTTGTTTACCTGGTTGCATCTATGCTTAGGAAAATGCTTTGGAATCAACTCAAGTGGAGATCAGACAAGGAATATCCTCACATCAGCCATCACAGAGGCTGCAGACTGATCCTGGCAGACGTTGCTCATGCACTGTAAGCAGACCACAAGCAGCACTCTTACCTGTGTACTGCTGGCCAGAACTCATCTCCTGCTCCTTATACCGCACACCCTGGAGAGTCCGTGCACACTGACAGCTACACAGACACTGCAACTCCCCTCCTTCCTTAGTACAGTTGCTTCTTATATACCACCATCAGACAGATGCCTCCTGTTGTCAGAGGTGCCAAATGGAAGGCTGCACATGGCACCTATTCCAGGTACCCTTTTAGAAAGTCGTTACACAGCTCTCATGTGGGAAAACAAATCAGTCAGGCTGGGCTTAGAGGTATCATTAGGATGTGATATCTCACAATCATTAATGACACAACTGCACTGACACTGGGTGACCTCTAGAGAGCCTGACTACATGAAGTATTGCTTCTTTCTGGTGCACTAGCCAAGCATTTGGAACTCACATTTAAAGATATTTTTAAAGGACAGAAATGGATTAATTTGGCACCAAAAAAAAAAAAAAGCTGATTTCCCAATGTTTGCTGTCAGTCAGAGCTGATAATGCAAATCATGGCTGAAATGTCTGTGTCCAGCTAGAAGCATACGACTTTCTATGAGAACAGTTCACAAGCATTTCTGGGAGTCCTATCTGGTTTTTTTTTCTGACCTAGAAAGCACTTGCTACCTATTGCCACAAGCAGTTCACTGAAGTTTGCCAAATGCAGAACCAGTCCCTAAGTTCTTCTCAAGACTGAAACTGGTTGGACATAGGATGTTTTTTCCTATCCTATACAAATTCTGGTGAGCAAAATTAGAAAGCAAGAAAAAGAAAAGTTTCAAGTGCTAAAGAACACATATAGTTTACATATTAAAAAATGCACTGAAGGGTTTATACAGCCTATATTATTTTAATTCCACTCTATTTATCTGTGCCTCCCCAACTGCCAAAAATTTCAGAATTACAGTATATGTCGTCTTTAACAATGATTGATTCATGATTCTCTAGCACATCTGTCGATAAATATTCTCCAACATGAAAGTACTTGCAGCCCAAAAGTACTAAGTAATAACCAGGATTTGTAGTCAAACCTCCTTAATCGTGCAACTTACCTTTTTCACAGATCTCCTCAAAACAGGACGAAACATTCCCAGAAGACTAGCAGGATCCCATTTATCCCAGCTGCTTAGATAACATCAGGTTTGTTTGGATCATATTTAAAGCACATTCAGTTTAGCACCATCCACTAAAGACTCCATTGAACTTAAAAACCATAATAGGGCCATTACCAAGAGCCAAAAGACAGGGAACTCTCTTAGTATAACATGAAGAGAAGTTTATATGGGACTAGATTAATTCTTTCTTTCCAGTATAGGGCTGCTTTATCAGGCAACACTATTCCATGGGCTGACAAGGACCTAGATAACCACTCAACACATCAGGCTTTAGGCTGAATCCCAGCAGCATCAGTACATTTTCTTCACCACCCTGCACAATCACCTTCCTCCATAAAATATCATGTTCTAAATACCTACACATATATATGTACCTAGATATTTATAGATATATCTAAAATATCATGTTCCAAACACCTCTAGCAAGCATCAAACAAGTTCTGCAGAACTATGCCAAATTAACACAGCTGCCTCTAGAAAACCAAAGTCTCCCCAGCACACAGTTGCATACCAACCTGATGTTCAGCCATGACAGCATGGGAGTTGTACCTCCACCAACAATCCACACAGTGAAAAAGACGATGAGGAGAGTTGTTGAGAACATCATTTGATGTGAGTAGGTAGCAGTATCTCGTATAGCCAGAGCAAATGCCATGGCTCCCCTGAGACCTATCGGAAAAAATGAAATAACAGAGCTTAGAAGTGCAATTGTGCTTGTTGGTAACGCAGCAACTTCCCTTGCTCTATCCCTGCCACACAAACATAAAGTGACAGACAGAAAGCACTGGGCTCCAGCAGGTTTTGATTTCCTCAGATTCCCTGATAAATTATGCCCTGGCATGATTTACAGCATAATTTGCCATCCCAGTTTTCTCTAACTTAGAGAATCCACAAGAGCTAAGAAAATGTGTAAATATTCCCAGAAACCACTGGAAAGGAACGGAGAAACAAACAAGTTGTGGACAACAGCAAAACATATTGTGGAAGTCAAGCAGCATCCTGAATACAGATAAAAATGCACAATTTCCCAGTTGAATTCATAATTGAATAGTGAATTCTTGATATGAAATTTTTATCACTGGAAAAATATTCTAGTTAATAACATGTTCACAGACAGACTACATGTTCCCCCTCTTCCATGCATCCCAGGGGAAACTTCACTAGCAAGAACAAGCCATGGCATTTGGCCATGTGCAGACTTCTTATGTAGGGAAATCATGGAATGGTTATGGTTGGAAGGAACCTCTAGAGATCATCTGGTCCACCCCTCCCCTGGTCAAGCAACCCCTGCTCAACCTGCAGTAAGTTGCACAGGACCACATCTAGATGGCTTTTGAATATCTCCATGGATGGAGATGCTACAACCTGGCTGGGCAACCTGTGCCAATGCTTGGACATAGTAAAAGGTGTTTCCTGGTGTTCAGAGGGAACCTCTGTGCCATATGGGCACAGAGTTTGTGCCCATTACCTCTGTCCTGTCACTGGGCACCACTGGAAATAGCCTGGCTTTGTCCTCTTTACTCCCTCTTGTATGCAGAGGATTCTCTGGAACTTTTTGAGGATGAACATGTTTAGACACACACTCCATAATTTGCTCTAGATGATAAACTTGAACAGTTGCCTGTGTGACGGAAATTGTAAGGGAGTTTAAGTCAAATACCTTTCTTTCTCCAAGTAAGTGGGAGAGGGCATCCATAAATACACTTCTGTTTTCTCAGCAAGTGTCTGTTTCTGCTCAACTTTTCATCTCAGCTAGAAATAACCTTCTAGAAGAGATACATCCCAACTCCCCCATCCCCTCAGATGCACTTCAAATGAAAATGCTCTATTCCCAACATGAGGTACTGTTTGCCACAAGCAAAAAGCATTTCAAGATGTCGCTCATCCCAGACATGATACACTTTCTGTAAAGGTTGAAAGATACATGATGGCATGCTGCAACAATCAGTAAGCCTTCCATTTAGGATGAATGAAAGTGGATTATAAAAGGAGAAGGTAGCACTATCAATTTCTTGTGAGTTAAAAATAAATCTTTTTGCATTACCAAGCATTTTACCAAGCTCTTACCTGAGAACATCATCATGTGCTGAAAGCTCCAGGTGATCTTATGCCTCCTGCCCAAATTCAACAAAAAGGAGAGAGGGTAGATGTGTGCAGCTCTTCCCAAAAAGATTGCAATCTGTTCACAGCTGAGGGTTAAGGATTTCTTTTTCCTGAGGCATGCACTCTTGGGTACCTGGCTTTAACCTGAAGCTTTTGTTTTTGTGAGAGGTTTAGATCATGATAGCAAGTGTTCTTGTTATATCTACATATCTAAAGCAGACTTTCACCAGTTATGTGAACACAGAACCCATTGCACAGAATACATATTTTAGCTAATATAGCCAAGTTTTTAAATGGAGAGCTGCCCTCCTCACAAAGGTAGAAAATCACTCAAGAGGCAACAGAGGTTAAATGCAGTGGTAGAAAAAGATGTGGAAAACATAATAAAAGATAAGCGGGTAGGAAAAGAAAATAACAAATACTGAAAACAAAACCAAGACAGATAGCATAACCTGAGAGAACATGGAAGGCCACACCAAAGGTGAAAAATAGTAATGCTTAGTACACCAGACACAACTATTCTGTTCATGTCCTTATTCAATGTCTGTAGGGCTCTGGAGCATTTTTTTAGGTCAGAAAAATGGACGCGAGGTGACACAGGAGAAAATTTATTACTATTTCAGAAAAAAGTAAATGGGCAAAGGAAAAAAAAGACAAATGTGATAAACCCTGAGAAGCAGTATAGCAATGAGAGAAAACAATAGAAAGGAGGAGAGAAAACAAGTGTATCCCAGATTATGGGATGTATACGCTTTCACTGGGTTTTATCTCCATTGCCAATAGCCCTACTCCTACAGCAGGCTGATCTCTACCTCTGGGATGTTGCTCAAATATAATCTATTCACACACAATCCTCTCTATATACTTGAAGTTTGCTTGCTTTCTCAAGGGACCCTTGGAAGTGAAGAGAAAAATGCATCCTTTTCTAGGCCTCCCAAGTTGAAATACAAAAGCAACACAAGCAGTGTTGGCTGTCAATGACCAAATGACACAGTAAAGCATATTAATTTATTTATCTAGTGAAATTTTATGACTTCTAACACTACTCAGGTACAGAACAACAACTGTGTGGTACAGAGGCCTTAGGGCTTTGATGTAAGGCATAACCAAAGATTGTTCTCAAAATTATTGTTTCTGCAAGACATCAGGAAAACTCAGGCCAGCCATCATTCTCTGGTAAAGCCAACAGACATCACAAGTTTTCAGGCACATAAGACAATAGAGAAACCTCACACAAAGTGAAAAAGGATACAAAAGCTCCAATAATGAAAACTGGGCTGAATATGTGTTTCTGGAAAGTAAACAGTGCTAAACCCATGTAAGAAAATATGAAGTTCTCAGCCAGGAAGTGCAATACCTCGAAGAGCTAGGGAGAAAAGAGTCACATGTTAAAGGTCAAGTAAAAAAAGATGCTGTAAAAGCAATAGTACATGGACTATTACAGCAATACACTGTACAAAAGGTAAAAGACATCCTTGCCTGCTTAGTGCGACTTCTTGATTCAACTGACAAGTTATTGTATGTATAATGTGCCTGGGTAATTCCGCAGAAGAGGACAGCCACCACACCTGTGAACAGAGTCACATGTGAAAATCAGCCTGTTTACTGGGAGTTCATCACATTTTCTCTTCCCAAGTTCCATTAAATTTATACATCATCCTTAACCTTGAGATTTTATGAACCTTATTTTCATGTGAGTGAGATTCCAGGTTAGGGAGGTGGTGTTTTAACCAAACAATTGTTCTTAAAAGCCTTTGTTACAGTGAGCTGCACCTTCAATGATGTTGAACAGAAAGCAAAAAAAAAAAAAAAAGCCTTAAGCACAAACAGCACTTTTCTCATTGAAAAGTTTTAATGAGAAAGCGAAAGAATGGCTGCTGAGATGGACAGGACTTCTATCTCCGTGTGCTTGAATCCCAACTCACCAGTAAATCCACAAGCTTCTGCAAGCAAGAAAGTGCTCCAGGACATCAAGAAGAAGAGTGCCGTTTCCAGCAGGGGGAAGCAGTGCAACTTGGTAAACTTCGTTACGTTAAGTCATTTGTTAAGGGATCAAAAAATACTTTGGCTTCTCTGTACCCAGTACTTATGGAAAACACTTTTATGTGCTAACAACCAATGCTAGTTGGACATCCCCCCTCCTTTAATGCTGAAAAACATGAATTCCAACACATCAAGGCAAACTTCAGAATCAAGGTATCCCCTTGCAGCAATTAGTTCTGGATATTTTTGCTGCATATCCATGGCATAAGGTGTGGCTCCACCTCTTAAAGGGAATATTATCCTACTCCATGCTCCCCTTTGAAGTGCTAGCAAGGAAGGGATATATACCTGGTGTTCCTTTTAGATTGTGTGTGTCTTGGTTTTTTGAGGGATTGGTGAGGGAATGATGTTTGGTTCCCCCTGCAAAGCCTAATAAATAGTCCCCCTGTCATCTCTAAATAAAGCATAAAATAAATTCAGAATTTAATTCACGGGGCTGTTCTTGACTACAGCACCCCTAAGATGAAGTAGATTTATGAGAATTTTTCTGCTCAGATTTGTTAACAAGTCTTTTCCAGCAAGCATGGCTACTTCAGTACTTTTGAGGCAAAACAAAAATACTGCCTACAAAATGTATTATCTCTCCTTATGTGTTTTAGAGGAAAAGCCAGCTCAGAGAAACTCAATCTTTCAATGGAAAGAAAAAAGTTCATCTTGCAGAAGAGAGCGAAACTTGAGCAACATCAAAACACACACTGAATTAACAAATCAGACAACTACTGAAGAAGTAGAACAGATCTCAGTAGTGTTAAATTTAGCTCTTCACATACTACAAAAATTTTTTTCATGTATTTATAGAATTATTTTTAGTTTTTTTTCCTCAGCACTAACCTGGCAGCAGGTAAACAAGGAACAGCACACTGTATCTGACTTGCAGACAGCTATGCACAACCCTTATCTGAAAGCTGACAAGTAGCATAATCTTCTCTGAAATCTAAGTGGGAGGACAGCAAAAGCACTTGAAACAGGAAGGTGGTAGCACTCTCCCCTGCTCATATAAAGGCAATCAGTACCTCAATGGACACATCAAGGCTGCACCATTATCCACCAATGCTCTCCATGCATAACACAGCTGGCAGCGTTTCAATGGGAACCTGGTTAGGATGAAGCAGTTCTGAGGACAAACATCGACTCTCCACACACACCTCCTTCTTATTGACATTCTCTGCACTCCTGGAGAAGGGCAAACATATACTCCAGACGCATCTTCAGCTGTGAACTTACTTTGTCAGAAGTTTGCCCTCCAACCAAAAGCCCAAAGCATCATTAAACAGAAAAAAAAGTATTCTCCATGGCAGTTGACATTACAGCAAATGTAAAACTCAGCTTTTTAAACAGCTGTTAACTCTCCACAGAAGCCACCTCTAAAAGTTTTGAACTCAGCTGAATTTCTGCCCCCCACCACACTCTCCTGAAACAGACCCATTTTCTAAGATCATGTTTCTGAAGCAGCAACATCCACCATAGCAACATTTAGAACGCTCAGATAACCCCAGTGCCTGGGTCAAGAGGTATTCATGGATGCTTAAGGAAACTCAGTAGCCACAGTCACTCCATGGGAGAGGAAGAGGTTGAACCTTGTTTCCACTAAAGTTTGGCATGGGCCCTTGTCAGAACAAATTTCTCATTTGCGGTCTTTTCTGGCAGCTTTGTAAATCAAACTGTTTATTCCCCTTGCTGTTATTGTAAACAACAATACCAAAACATTCAATTAAATCTGGAATTAAAACCTGTACTCATCATTTTGGAGGAAAGGCAAGAAAAGAAAATATTTTATTATTTTCTACAATTGACCAAATTGAAGTGTTGATTTGAAAGTAAATTATTATTCCTTTTTTCTTATCTTTTTTCTTTATTCCTTAGACACAGCTTTCTGTTTCACTTCTTTTCAAATAGGCAGATTCTGCAATTAAAAAAAAAAGTGATACAATACTTAAACTGTTTTAAAAGTAACCACAGACAGCTTGCTGGAAGCCAGAACAAGTGCTTGTATCTTATCTGCATCATTTGGAAAATAAGTGTTCTATTTTCGAAGGACAATGCATGACTGCATGCAAACCCTTACTCAGGGAAGTATAGTAACAGGTACTTCACAGTTATGGGAATAACAGTCTATTGACACAGCACAAAATGCAAATTTACAGTTTGCTTCTACAGTATTGCATGACATTAAGGACGTTTCCAAAAGAAAATAAATACATGAAGTCATATAATTTTAAGCAACCCACTCCCCCCAAAAACACAAACACAACAAACAAATAAACAAAAACCCACCAAAAATTGGAAAATGGAAAAACAAACAAACAAACAAACCACACAACACACAAAATGCTACCACAGAGGCTTTGTTCTGAACAGCCTCCCCTCTCACAGCCTCACATCAACCTCCTGAGCACAAGCATTAGAAACAGCAAGGACCAATTGCTGCTTCAGAAGCATGATTTTGCAAAGTAGATCTGAATGCATTTCAGTCAGCAAGCCAAAAACTACAGCAACTGCATTTGAGCAGCTAGAACTATGGATAGCTGGTTGCCTAAAAGCCAGATGAAGAATCATGATTCTGGCTCACATCGATTGCAGATCAGTGGAATTGAAAGACCCAACATTAAAGCATCAACAGCACAGCTTCCCCTTTATACTTAAAGGAGTTCCATTATGCAGATGTCAGACAAATCTACACAGTGTGTATATAACAAGATACAGTTGAGACATTATTGCTTAATATGAAAAGTCACAGGGTCATGATTATTGGTTAAAACATCACATTTTAGCCCTTTCAAGTCAGTGTTCAGAAGTCTAGGCAGATCAAAGCATTCTGGGATATGTACAGAGACAGTTATATTGACCAGTCTGAAAGCAAAGACCCTTAATTTTTTTCCTGAAGAAGAGTCATGATTTCTGGAGGAGGCCAGGCTGAAGATCTACTGCCTGAGCCTAAAACAAACCCACATAAATTGCTTGCTGAGCACCTCAGAGATCAAACCAAACAGCAGCAGTAAGCTTCAAGAGAACAGAACAGATCATGCAAAGCACATCATGTTATGAAGTTTACTCTCATGTAGACACAATCTTATCCAGGGCATATGACATCAGATTTCTGGCAGAAAGTTTAAATGCAGGACTCATAGAATGCTGTGGGGTCAGAAATGACTATTACAGATTTTGCTGAAGACAGAATCAAAGGCCGGTTATTATATGTTATTCAAGCCTAATAAGAAAAACTAGTTTATTTAATTTCATAAAAAGAAACTAAACATGGACTAGACAGGCATGCCTGTTTAAGGTCTCCCTTTAGCTTCCAGTGTGCAGCAACATCACTAAATCTTCTAGCATGGCCACTGTTATATTGAAAAAAGTTGATTTCTATGGGTACCTGTAATGTCTTTCCATAGAAAAAAAGTCACATGAATACTGATCACATCTTCACACTCAGGATAAAACAAGAGAGTCGATTTTGCTATAATTGGAAACAGGAAAACCCTGATAATACCCACATATGCCATATCAGCTAGAAGAGCTAAATGTGAAAAAGGATATCAGAGCTGTCACAACCCCTGTCACTGCTCCCATCATGAAAGAACCACTGAATATTCCCAGGAAAACACCAACGGACTTGAAAAACGCTGCTGCATCAAAAGCATGAGTATTTTCACCTGTTGGCTGGTAGGCAACTATAGATCTAGAAAGAGAGTAACATAATGAGAACTTAAAATTGGCATCAGAAAAGTTTAATTCTGTAAGAACACCACCTGAGCAACAGAGACAATCCCATACTGAAGGCATGTACGTACGCATTAGGGATCTTGGAAAACATTTGCAATAGTTATTAATTCAGTTCAAGACAATCCATTTAAATTTAAAATGACATTTCTCAGAAAAAGCATTTATTTTAGACAAATACCAAAACAACTAAGTAATTTCAGAGTAGAAATTCATGGAGCTACTTACGAAGATAATACAATGGCAACAGCGTCATTCAACACGCTCTCCCCAAACAGAAGGGCATAGAGATCAACATCAGCATGCAGCTCATTAAATATTGCTAGCACGGTAACTACAGAAAGAAAGGAGAAAAACAACACTGGCTGACTTGAGGAACGACAGTCAGCCTTTCCAGTTTGTCTATAAGCAACAAAATGCAGGAATTGAAGTACAGAATCAAAATTAAACTGGGAAACAGACTAGTCATGTTTATCTATGGGTAAGCAATTTCACCTCGAGTCTTAGGGCAGCTCTATTAGGAGGTGGCTCTGTTGTCCTCCCATCTGCACAGTGTTTATAGGAAGGCCCCCATGATTAATGGGCATAGGGCAGACAAAGCACTTCTACCAAAGCCCTGATATTATTTTAGAACATGCCACATATAAGATAATCAACAAAACGTTGTGCAGCTCTTGTTACTTTCAAAAACTCTATTGATTGTTGACATAGGTTTATTATTTCAGCCATAGTAAAATAGTGCTAATAATCCTAAATGTACCCAAGGTATACACTATGCCATAGGAGCGTGCATTTGCACAGGATTTGAAAAGGGCAAGACTGCTAAATATTTGTAACCATCCTTTCAAGAAAATTCAGTCTGAGATGAAAGACCATGATCTTGAAGATGTTCCCATATACAAGCTTCAAAAATCACATAGTGATTTTTTGCATAAATTGTGTGCAACCACCAGCTGTTCAGAGCTCAGCTCAGTCACAGGAGTTACTTCCCATTTTCACACTAATTACCACTGAGCACCTCAAATAAGCTGTTTTAAATGTCAAGCTTCATACTTTACCACTCCCTACCCTGGCCCCTGACATACACCAGCCCTACAAACTGACCAGTCATCTGTGTGAGCCTGCTGGACCCTGAAGAATGACTACACTATTTGGGCAATAGCTCAAATTACTTGGCCAGAAGAGCGTTTTTCTGCTTAAACTTGTAAAACATGAAGTTCATTTGAAAGAGAAGAAAAATCTCCCACCTAAAGAGTCTAAAAGCCTCAAATATTGTTCTTAAATTACCTAGCCCCAAGCAACAGAACTGAAGAAGGAGGTCCTTCTACCCAGACATGTAATAATTTCATCTATTTGCAGTCTAAAACTTGATGCACACTACACATCCCCTTCCAAAACAACAACAAGTAAACAAAAAAAGCCCCAACCCTTGCCCCCCCCAAACCCCCACAAGAAAACCTGCGAAAAAACCTACTAGGGTGGGGGGGAAAGATTATTTAAAGTATTTGAACAGGAGAGTTACATTTTTCTCCAAATAAAACATGGTGTTATGCCAGTTCAGCACCAAATCAACAGAGAACAGCTTTTAAAACACTTAGAATTTGCATGCATTTCAGAGAAGAGGCTCAGAGATATTAATATGACATAACTGAAATTCAAGTCCTGTTAATATGTAGCCAAAAATCCTAGCAATAGGGTTATTTTGGAAGGTTATTAAAAAATGTTCATCAAGCTACCTGGATCAGTGGCAGATATTATCGCTCCAAAGAGGAGGCAGTCTGTATAGTAGAATTTATCAGAGAGCTGACCCACCAACTTCATTAGTTTCACAACCCCATACATAAGATTCCTGAAGAGAAAGAGGATAAAACGGTCCAAGTCAAACAAGTGGGTGCATTTCAGACAGGCAAAGGAAAAGCACAAGCAACAACAGTATATCAAGCAGATTTGGTTATGCTAGAGCTCTGTGGGACACTGCCACAGTATAATGCTAAGCTCTCAACATGCATTTTCCTCTTTACCCTATGAACTGAGTCAAGCAATACAGTATCCAGAAGACATTATTTAAAACCAGTAAACAAAGCACGAAATCTGTTCACACAACTAGCACAGAGAGTCTACAGGATGCTTCCATTTTCCACCAAAGGGAACATTTCCCTGCTCAAAATTCCCTTCAGTATTGTTTTTCCCAACACAGTACATAGACCAAAACCTCTCAGCTAAGAATAGCCTTCAAATTATTTCTCTAGTGAAATTCTTGGAAAGACAAACCAAGGTCACCAATGCAATTCAGGATTTCTGTATTTCAGAATATCCATACACAAGACACAGTAATATTAGCAACAGAAGATATTGTATGCAGGCTAGCATACAATAATGTGACTAGCTATCTTAAACTAAATGTGTGTGTACATATAGACATAAAATATACCTATGCATGCAGAGAGAGAAAGAGAGAGCACTTTATCAACTTAAACTTTAGTATAGAAAGGAACTGATATCAGAGTTCACTTACCCAATAATAAAACAAGAGACTGCTGTTCCTAAAAAGGCGTAAGCCAAAATGGACCCCAAATTCCTGAAAAAGTGTCTCTGCATAGGAAAAGAGGTTTATATGCCTACTTTAAAAAATTATAGCACCTGTTCAAAAACATATAGTACACTACTTCACTTGCATACACAGAAACATTTCAATTACTGCAATGTACATTCTATCCAACTTCAATAAATGGAATAAACTAGCTCTGAACCATGCCTGAAATCCTACATGTAACTTATTGACAGAAGCTTTCCACACAGATGTTTTCTTAAGAGATGTAAGAGTTAGCTGTAAAAACCAGCACAGATTTGTGGTATCTTCAAGCAAGATCAGAATCTGGGCCCTTCTGTCATTCAGTGTCTGGCACATCCCCACCAGTATTCAGGGTTAGGTCCACTTTTCAGCATAATTTACTGCATTTTGGATATTTGAGAAGGATCAAAACCATTCATAGCAGAATATCTTTTACTGTAAATGAAACTGACATTAATCTCTGACTAAATTCAAAGGAAAACAGATCAGCAAGATTAAATAGACATTTAACACATTTATACTAAAAAATACATGTATTTTCTCTTAAAACAATATAGTCTAATCATCTATGGAGGAAATAAGATTTTTCTTCCTGCCCTAAAAAAAAAAAAATAAATGCTTGAAATAGAGACTGCAATCCTGAAAATATCGTTAATCTCACATTAAAAAAAAAGTCCATTCTCCACAGAAATTATTACACTTACTTTCTTTAGGCTATAACCAGCATGAAAAATAATTGGAGGCAACAGAATGTTGAAAAAAACTTCTGGGTCAAATGTTACCTACAAAATAAAATATGAAATTTCAATTAGAAACAGATGTAGACAAATCATTAGGTCTTTTTCCTCTTTCGTTTTCTCACAATTACTATTTTTGGTCGTTGAAATAGATAAGTTGACACTCTAAAACACTGGTCATCTCTATATATATACAGCAGCAAAAAGCTGCAGCTCTTGTTGGTAAACAGCATCTAGGAAAAACATCCATTACATCCATCCCCAACGATAATCTGGCAGCAATCCCTAGCAGAGTCCTCTTTTTTAAATTAAACATTTCTAGTAGAAATGATGTTGGAGAAGATCTCTCTTATTGCAACACATGATTTTCATGTGCAAACTAAATGTTGTTTTTAGTTTATGTTTTTTTGAAAGTCGAACCACTGTACAGTTATTTTAAGCCAAACAAGTCAGATACAAGACTGGTTTTCAGGAATTTGGATCATTCATCACTTGCTTGTATTTCAGTAGAAGTTCCAGATATCCATGAAAGTCTACACTACACTTAGGAAAAAACTCAACATTTAAAATCCAAACAAGACCCACACACGTGAAACTAACTTAATTCTCTTCACCCTCTGCCTAAGCATAGGTTAGAAGACAAATGAAACAAGTGTGCTCTGCCAGAATAGGATTCATTCCAGCTAATTTTAGATATCTATAGCAGACAGGTACGTACAAACAGACAACTAAACTTTCTTCATAGTTAGCAGAACGAAGTACTTTTAGATTACAAACCTTAAAGTCTCAATCCCATACTTCAAAGTCTAACTTTTATATATATAAAAGATGCTTAATTCTTGACACTGAATAAAAAGCCAAATAGGACATCTGAATAACAGTTGATAGGTGAATTTCACTTCCAACACCAGACTGCCTCATTTGGTAGATTATAGGTAAATTACTATTTCCTGACAATAAACAGATTTTAAAACCCTAGGAAAAAGAACAATAAGAACCAATCACTTTTCACTAATTTTCATTTTCCTTATATTGCGTTTATACGAGGCAACATCAGGCTTTTTTGGTCTTTGTGAATTCTACAAATGTTAGAAACATACATTAAGTCTTCAAACCAAGGGCTTTAGGAAAGCACTACATGCATGCAATGGAGCACAATTTGCCAGCAGCAATATAATACGGAAGGTGCTCTTGAATTAGGCATTGAAGCACTGTTACCATCAGCAGTGCTGACATTTGACACTGGCCAACATTCCAATGGGATGGAGAAAGGAAGATGAAGGAGAAACACTCAGCCAAGCACAAGAAATGGTGTAGCCTCACCTTTCTCAACATGTCATTTTGCTCCACGTTGTGGATCTTCCCAGGGCTTATTTCCCCTTTGAGTGTGTACTCAAAGAACTTCCCGCTGACGTTGACCAGCAGGGTTGTGAACGGCCTGTCCTCCTGCGAGCAGCTGAACGGCTTGTCATGGCCGCTGCTGGAGGGAGTCCCGTACCTCAAGATCACCCCAACTATGAGTCCTGGAAGAGAGTTAAAAATCCATTAGGCTGATTCACTACTTTCTGTACCTTTCCTGGTTTCAAATAACATCCAAGGTGTAATCCATGAGCCTTAATACGTACATGCACCATAAACATGTTGCAGTGAATTGTGACTGCTGGTTTCCTGCAGAGGAAGAGAGGATCTGAGCACATCAAAACTATCAATGAATTTATAAAATCTGGTATCTGCCAGAAGGGGCAAACAAAAGGCTCCACTTCAAGTTTTGTCTTCCTCACCCTCAAAGTGTAAACCTCTAGTTGCATGAGAGGCTAAACGCTAGGACACCTCAAATACATATCACGTACTTTAGGACAGAACCGAGCATACACACCACTGCCAGAAAACAATGAGTTCTGTAAACACATGACAGTAACTGAGATGAAATGGTGATGTTTGCCCTATTATTTCACAGCTGCAGCAAGGATGCAGCTTTTTAGCCTGACAATTCTAAGCCAGTAAACAATGCTTCTTGCACAATCTCCTGTGTAGTCCACAAACTCTGAAACTAAAAGTCGGATGACATGCACAAAGAAGCCATTTGCAATCATTTTCCACTTTTCACATAAGCAAAAATAAGGTATAAATGAGCAATCATAACAGATCCAGGATACAGGAATATAAGACTAATTACGTAGCCAGCTGAGATAAATCCAACCAGAAAATGACATCAATAATGGATACATCAAACACAGAGACAAAAATAATTTGTAAGCTAATGGAAGGGCCGTGCTAGGAGGCTAGAGAAGCACCAAGTTTTAATTGTTCCTTTTACAATGTACTAAGAAAAGAACAAGACTCCAGTTCTGCAAAGAGAACATATAAGAACAGTCAGAGTGGTTTTGATCTGGCAAGTAAACAAATTGATACCCACTTACTAAATGCTCCCCTGTTGCCTTAGGGTGATCTGCAATTTAATTCTTGTTCCAGACAACTACAAGATGAAGATAATGTCTGATGCTTTTGTTGACAAATCAGTAATCAATGCTGCTTTTGCTCTTTGTGACCCTCACTCTGAATCCATAGATCTGTTTCCCTGGGTAGTAAATGAAGCTGACAGGTAATAACCAGAGAATAAATGAGGCAAAACGAAGGCAATTCTACCACACACCACATAAACCCCAAGCAGACATTATGGCATAGTGTAAAGCGTGACCAAACTGTACCCCAAAAAGCCAACCAAAAGAACGCATCTCATTCTCTTCAGGTTCATGGTGAAAAAACAGTTTTAATGCAAGCAAAGCTACAGCAGGTAGCAGCTGTGACACTAGTGAGTGGTTCACCTCCAGCCCTTGTTCTCTGTGATCAAGAGGACATAGCAGCAACAAGATAATTCCAAAGTAACGAGAAGATTAAGTTTTATTTAGAAAAGAGAAGTACACACTCAAAGAGAATACAGGGGAAGAAACCCCCTTAGCAAGAGAAATCTACTCACTGAAATTTCAGGTGCTGACAGTTTAAATACAGAGTTTTATACAAGCCTTCTCCTAACACCACTGGAGCATTTTACAGCTACACATGACAGATGTGGCAGAAACACAGCTCTGCAAAGTGACAGGTTATGGCCAGTCACCTCCAAGCCACTTGCGTTATGAGTTATGGCTACAGACATCATTACCAACCCAGCCAGGCAAGCAGTCTAAGCTTTCTGCTGCTCTCCCCCCCACTCACAGCTAGAAAGAGCTAGGCTCATAGAATACATCAGCAAGACTGTCTGTGTTAAAAACTGATCTAACCAACATCAGCCAGAAATCCTGCAGTAAATCAGAAGGCAGAATGAAAGCTGTACAGATGAGCTTATACGTAGCAGTGGTACAAAGCCAAATCTATATTGCTACTAAGCTGAGAATAGAAAGAAAAACACTGATAGATGTAATAGCTTCTCAGGCTCAGAGACTGTCCTTAGTGAATTCATTGCAAAAGCAGATGGGAAACCCCATTGCTATTGTATTAGTAAGAGGCACTGGAGAGCAGGAGGTGTTTGCACTATACAACTGAATACAATCCACTTTTACACTTCCTCCACAATAAAATATACCAGTTATGTGCCAATTATATCCATAATTGATATTTAGCATTTGAAGCTAAACATTCTTTAACTCCCAGAGTCCCATGGCCCAGTAACACAGCCGCAGGGAATTTGCATACACATCCTGCTGTTAAAACACCAAACTGGATGAGCTTTGCACTGAGTATCACAGTTCAGGAACATGTGATCCCTGCTGCCAGGCTACACATGGACCAGGGTGTCCACTGTCTAGGCAAGAGGCTGTCACAAACAGTCACGTGGCTAAAGCTACCCACAGCTCAGTCATTAAAGGAAATAGGCATGAAAAGAGAAGAGGCCCAAGGAGGTCCTCCCCTGTCGACTACATTTCAACCTGAAGGAGACTCAGCAGAGATCTTACTGCTGGTTGCAGCTATCCACTGGGCACACAGAGAAGAGAAGGACAGAATCTTCTGGAAGTGCACAGCGATTAAGACTAAATGCCACAAACTTGTTGCAATGCAGGTGAAAAAAGTTAAGCAATGTTTGTTTTTTAAACAACTAAGTGGCTGAGCACCAGATCAGGCTGTCACAAAGGTTGTGTAATCTCCTTCCATGCATAGAGCCAAAACTCCTGTGAGTATGGCCCTGAGACTCAAGTTGTTGGGGCCTGCTGTGAGCAGAGGGCTGGACAAGACTACCTTCAGAGGTCCTTTTCAGCCTAGATTACCCTGCAATTCCCAGTCTTTCACATGACCATTTGGACCTCCCAGACAGGTCTTTTATGCTGCAAAAAATTTCTTTAAAATCAACCGAATTGCTTCCTGGGTCAGCCTTGGGGTTTTCTGTCACTTTGGAGTTGTGTTATTACTTTGTTTAAATGAGAAACTGCACTTCTGACTCTCTAAGTCAGAGAAGAAGAAATGGCAATATTACAATCTCATCATAAAAGTCGAAGAGACACAACAGACTAGGAAGGAACTGCTTTTACTTCCTCAATTCAACCTGACTTGCCTTGGGTCAAAACTCACCCTATGGAAAGAAGGCAGATGGACTGACCAGGAGATATTCAACTAATGCTGCTTAAGTACAGGAAAGCAGATACTGCACTACAGCAGGGAAGGCACTTGCTGGTAGTCTTTCTCTCTTTTTTTTTTATGCAATAGTAGTCAATCTTGGAAGTGACATTACAGCAACCCATTGACTGGTTTGTGAAGCTGGGCAGCCTTGTCAGTGGTGAGAGCCAGTCTCACCTTGACACACCATTTGCCTAGTCTTAGCACAGCCCACACAGAGAGGCAGAACAGCACATTGTGGGTACTTGGACACCAGTTTCCTCATGGTGAAAGGTGACAGTGAGTAAAACACCCGTTTGCTTTTTAAAATACACATAAAGGATATGTATAAAAAGAATTTCTTACATTTAAAAGTCTAGATTTTTTTCTCCTTACTCCCAGACTGAACTTTTCACCAGCTTGAGGATGAAGAAAAAAAGATTAAAAAAAAACTTGACAAGAAGGATGAAAGAAACCCCCGTAAGTATTTTCAAGGTAAATGACCAATAACAATACACAGTGTTTATCACACATATCATTTTTGTATTGGATGTTCGTGTGCATCAAGATACCACAGGTTGAAAGTTTTACTTTAAATAGCCTGAAAAACCAACAGAGAAAGTATTTTTCCTATTACAGGGTCAACCTTTGAACCTCACAATCCACACTAGTTTATGAGGAAGTTTCCAAACTTTTACAAAATAATTCAAACAGTGTTTCTGATCCAGAACTGAGCTGGTAATGTTGCATATTTTAAAAAAATCAGATGACATATTATATACCATCTCCAGAAGCATCAGCAACTCACTCCCTATACCGTTCTATTCATGTGAGGAGCAGCTGTGGGAGCTGGGGTTGTTTGGTGTGGAGAAGAGGAGGCTCAGGGGAAACCTTATCACTCTCTACAACTACCTGAAAAGAGGTTGTAGCCAGGTAGGAATAGGCCTCTTCTCCTACGCAGTTAGTGACAGGACAAGAGGACATAACTTCAAGCCGCACCAGGGGAGGTTTCAGTTGGACATCAGGAGGAATGCTTCACAGAAGGGGTTGTTAAATATTGGAATGGGCTGCCCAGGGAAGTAGTGGAGCCACTGTCTCTGGAGATGTTTAAGAAATGACTGGATGCGGCACTTAGTGCCATGGTCTAGTTGACAAGGTGGTGTTCAGTCAAGAGTTGGACTCAATGATCTCAGAGGTCTTTTCCCACTTAATCGTGATTCTACGATTCCGTGTTGCTCTGAGCATGGCAAATCTATTAGCTACCTTCTCAATGATTCAACATTGCCAGTGTAGCATTCATCAGCCTGTCACACCACTGCAGAAGAAAAATAGGAAGCCTGTTTTGAAATCAATCCTCATCTTTGGCAGTTTATGTTCAGCAACACAAGCACAAGACAAATACTTTAAAAAAAATTTTAAAAAACCATTTTTAAACAGGGAGTGGAGGCAGGTGATGACAATTCTTGAAGTCTGAAGGAAATTTTGGGGATATCCAAACCCTGAAATGCTGAATAACATATTCAAGGTCATGCTTTGTCATTGTCTTAGGGCTATTTTAGATAAGGAAGTTAAAAGACAGTAAACAAGCGGGTAATTCTTCCTCCTTGTAGGCAGACAAAGCAGTATGTTATCAAGGGTATCTTTGTAATAAGCATTTCATTCACCTTTAAAATAAGCCAAACTAAGCATAGTTTTGAATTTAAATAAACAGATTATGCAAAAAAAGTTATTGGCACACTGTGCAGAACCAAATGTCAAATTAACTTGCTGGCTCTGTGCTGCCAGACAAATATGCAATGTGCACACCTTTGCCTTCTCGTAAGCCTTTGGTTCCAAAAAACTCACAGGACTGTCTATGATGGTCAAAAATGCCTTTTCACTAACTGCTGCTCTGTTTTTTCCTAGGGGAACTAATTCTTCTTCAGGCTGTGTCA